TCCGACATCTCCACCCAGCGCCTGCATGCACGGCTCCTTCGCAGCGTGTGTTTGTGGAGGGAAGCAGAAATCAGAGCTCACCTCTGGTCACGATCTCCTGCAGAATGTTTGTTGTGCTGCTGATACTTTTTATCTGGCTTTTCCTCTCACGGCCTTCGTGAGCCGCAGCTGCTTTGAGACGCAGTGTGGGAACAATGAGACCAGAAAAAGTGCAAAAAGAAATGGCCCTGAAGGGCAGTGAATACCAAGAAAAATTCAGAAATGTTGCATTATTTGTTACCAACAGATTTCTTTGGTTGTTCCAGTTTTGCTGAAAAATCAACCATTTGGTCCAGGAGCTGAGAAAACAAAAGTTTTCCAAAAACAAGTAAAAAAAGACTTTTTAAGCTGAACTGAAGGTGGAGAGTGAACTGTTCCTGTTGTTGTGTGCAGATTATGTAGTTTACAACTGGTACTTAAATGCATCACTGTTGGTGTCAGCAGACGTTGCCACTGTAAACTCTGGTGAAAAATGTATATTCAAAGTATGTTAAATTTAAAATAACTTAAAATATTTTTACTTTTTTGCCTAATTGAAATACTTGCAGGATCTAAATAAATTCCACCAAATTCTGCAAAAAACTTTGTTTTCTTTGACAGCTTAAAACTTTTGTCTGCTTCACCCAGAAACTCCAATCATTCGGGTGTTTTCTCATGATTCAACGTTTTATATCTTTCACGGTTTTTCAAAAATCTGTGAGATTCAAAAATCTCACGGATTCAAATCAAAGTTTAATAGAAAGTTTTGGCCGTTTTTAGTTTTGTCATCCAATGTCGGAGTTTGCACTCTAGTAACTGTGACTGAAAGATTTTTAACAAACAAAATAATCCTGTTTGTACAATTTTCCCTCTACAGAAATAATTTATGCATCAAAACAAAGTTATGAGCCTCTGCTTTCAGGAAATATCAGCATCGTTGTCGTAGGTTTTACGGTTTTCTTTAAAATACTCCTTGAATGCAGGACTGTCACATGCCTTCCTACATGGGGATCCATATTTTTATCCACTCTCGGTGCAAAAGGTCGTTTTCAAATCGCTTCGTTTCCTAAAGTGAAGCAAGTAGAGACATGAGTCCAATCAGAAGAGTAGTTTATTTGCTCCCGGCTCTCAAAGTTTGAGATTTCTTTAGACTCTAGTTTCCACTTTTAACTGAGAGGAGTCTGTTTCAGATGAAGCATCCCCTGTCATTTCATCTCACTGCAATTTTTCTAGTTTTAGCAGAATATATCTTTCAAGTTAGTTCCAAACATATAAAAAGCATAAACTGGTTTAGCATTTATGAAGTTCAATATATATGAACGACTGACAGGAATATTCGTTTCACTTTGCTTCATCTCTCAGGTGAAGCAAAGTGAAACTCTGACTCATGTTTTGGTTCAATCTGATTCTTAAGCTTCAACACTAACTGGATAAACTGACCCTGGTTCAGACGATTTAACCCCTTGCTGCATTAAATGCTCTGAATATTTGACAGGATTTAAGATTATTGCATTAATTTTTTGCCTTCAGACGCCATAACCACTTACAGGCAGCACCGACCGCTTCATGTCTGAACAGTTTATGTATTCAGTCTGAATGTGGAGTTGGAGTTTTAAATGCAATTTTTAACTTTTTGCTACATAAAAAAAAATGTATTTGTAAATTGAGAAAAACAATCTTAAAGATAAAAAGGATAAAGAAGTAAAAAGAGTACAACTTGTGTGATTTATCGTCATCTGAACACATTTAAGAAAAACTTGAACTTGTTTCAATTTAAAACAAGTTAATTTTTTGAACACAGTGGAATAAATACGCAGAGATCAACAGGAACTATTTCTAAAAACAAGATATGGGACGACCTGTTGGAGCTTATTGTGACTTTTCTCAAAAATTAGACGGTCAACTTTTAATATTTGGTCAAAACTCCAAAATAAGTTCTTCAGACTTCAACTACTAACTTTGTATCCTTCATCAATCTTCTGGCTCCGTTCATTTAAACTTGCTGATTCCTTGGCATGAAATCCGTTAAACATTGGACGATTCAACGGGGTTGAGGTCAGAGGTCATGCCACAACCTGACCTCTATTAGTTGGTTTTAAAGTTTCACCCAGTTTAAAATCTAAATGCTCTGATGCTTCGCTGATGAAAGAAACATAGAAACTCTACCAAACGTTCAAGTCTTTAGTTCCTATCTTATCTTTCAGATATTTCTCCTTCAGTGAAGAGGCCAAAGGAAAAGCTTGAGAAGCATTTTAATAGAGATAAAAACAGGAAGTGAACCACCGTGTACAGTCTGTCACAGACACATCATGGCTGGCAAATGCAAAGATTCTGCAAATATTTGTCCATTTCTACACATTTAAACAGCCAGAGAAGCACTTCTGAGTCACAGAGTACAAAAAATCACATTTCCAGCATGTAAGACACAAAAATGAAAAAAACTCACATTAGATCTACCAGCACAATAAAGCACAGCTTTGTTCACCTTATGGTCGTCCAGCACCAAACTGGTGGGAAGATTAACTTTCTTCTGCTAATAGTGATGATCAACATCAAGGTTAAACAGGATTTTTAATGTTTATATAAAGAACTTTGAAATCATCTGAGATTTCAAATGATTTTAACTCAGCATGTTTAAAGCAAACTTCAGTTTTTCATTCTGAACTCATGCAAAGAGCCCAACCGAGAATTTCATTTGTGTCTCTTTATTCCCAAAATGGAAGGTTATATAGATCAGAAGTTATCCAGTGGCTCTTTTGGAGGTTTTTACTTTACTTATATGTTAGATTTTTTTTCACCCTCCTCAGGCGGCCATTTTCAGAGAAGTGTTTTTTTTTATGTAAGTTAAACCAAGTACGAATCCTTCAGTTACACAAAGACTCTGAAACAAAATGGATGACAAAGAATCGAGTTTAAAAACAAAATCTTCAGGCACTTCAGGCCACAAAGACATGTTTACTTTCACTGAATCTATGAAAAATAAATGACATGAAACTGTCATTTACTCAAAGCATTCACATCCATTTAACATTTCACCATTCGTCTTGTCAGAACAGAAAACCCGTTTCATTGGGATTTCAGATAAAAACAAACTGGAGCATAAGCATGAAAATTGAAAAGATTTTGCACCGTTTTAAAAATTTCCTACACATAAATTCTGAAAAGTGTGGAGGAAAACTAATACCACATATTATCCTGAACAAGCCATCACGATGGTCAGAGTTGATGGGATGATGGAGACAAAATAAAATAGCTGAAGTGAAAAAGACTCGAGTCTGGGGCAGAGCTCCAACTAAAAACACATTTAGCTACATGTCATCAAATTCAGTCTGTCGAACTTTGTTACTTGGATGAACTTCATTTAATTACTTGCGACAAATTAGCTCAATTCTCTTCAGCTGGATTGCCTATTTTGTTTTGTCAGTGCAGCTATGTTAGCATACATTAGCTCACTGTGTTAGAATGGCCCAGTCAAAGCCTGGACCTGAATCCAACTGAAACCAGATGCTCACCGATGTTCTGCATCCAGTTTGACTGAGTTTGAACTCTTCTATAAAGAGAAATGGGCCAAATGTGCAAAGATGAATACAAATGCATGCCACACTTTTCAGATTTTTGTAGGAAACTTTTTCTCGTTTGTGTTTGTCGATCAGGTGAAATACATCAAAGTTTGCAGTCGCAAAACTTTTTTATGCAACTTTCAGCTTTTATCAAACCGAGATTTAAAAGTAAAGAATTTCAGGTTAAAAGTTTCCGTTCTCCAGTTCAAACGTCTTTCTGTGTCTCTGATGATCTGTGATCCGATTCAAACGTCCAGCAGCAGCAGGTCTGGATCAGCTGTTTACATTCCTCACAGTTCAGATTTCTGGCAGAACATCCAAGTTCTGCAGGAAAAGAACCGAGCCAGAGCGCTGACTCTTGAACTGATACTTCATTATTATTTTTAATAAACATCTAAAAGGCACATGGACATTTTTCTAACTTCATCTTTTGGATTATTCTGCTACTTTTTGAATTTGGACGTGATGAGAATAGATGCTGACTCAGAAACAAAACCTGAAAATAAAAACTGGATTGAAACTAATTAGATTTGCAGCTTAAATTAGAGCTTGGAAGTAATTTTCCTCATTATAAGTCAATATTTGACCAGATCAAGTCTATCATCTGAAATCAAACAAAGAGGTAAAAAAGTCACAATCTGAGTCGGTTTGTCTGTAAAAACCATCAACCAGCAGCACAAAATGATGAAAGATTTGTGCTGCATTTACTGAAACAGCAATAAAAATATTATGATTAAATTAGAATCCAACTAAAATTATTTTAGTGAAAGATTATTCTGATGATTAATCTATTCAGATAAAAATGGCTAATATTCTGCATATTGTTCATTAAACCACTTTAGCCTTTTTTATACAATATTAGAAAGATAAAAATATGCAAATGAACAATTATAAAACAAACAATATTTTTATTCTAAATTTTCTAGTTTTTGGCTGTTTTTTTTCAGCAAATGGCCTTTTTAGTGCCTGTACTCCAGTTAACGATTAATTTTTTTACTAAATCAGTTAATGATTATTTGAATAATCGCTTGATCACAATTAATCATTTCAGCTCCAAGTTAAATAAATTAGGATGCTAAATCAGCCTTTCAATTTTCTATGCATTAAATTCTGTATGACGTAAAACCTGATTTCTAGTTTATTTCTAAAACTGAAGTAATAATGATGTCTGTTGTTTCATATTCTGTACTAAAAGCATTTTAGATTCAATTAATATTCTAAAGTCGCATTTCTAACTTTGAAAATTGGATAGAAAACAAATTGTTTTCCATCATCTGCTCAATTGGAGCTTAAAAAAAAGAAACGTTGTATAATTTCACATCATTCAGAAGCATCTAATTAGAAAGTTGTAGTTAGAAAAGCTGCCAGATATTAATAATAATTCAACAGAAAACTTGAAAAATAAACAAAAGAACACAAGAGTGGAAAAAAATGAATTTATTGAAAAGTACTTTTCAAAAAAAAATCTCCTTCAAACAAATTAGAGGGACTAGTAACAATAAAAGTAATCTAAAAATAAATAAAACTTCTTACTCAGTCTTACTCATGTTAGTTTGCCATCTCAGTTTGTCTTTTAGCTTTGCGATGGCTGGAGTGTTAGGAAGGTTTTCTACCACTAGTTTTACTCATTCCTGCCTCCTGTGGTGACACTTTGCACGTTTTGGTCAGGAGGCGTTCATCATTAATAACATTACAGCTAAGAAAGTAACGGTCACTGTGTGTGAAATAAAAACACAAAATAAAAACTAACAGTTCATTTTCTGATCTGAAACTGAGCTCTGACGTTTTCACCTCCCGCCAACACTTTGAAGGCCTTTGCACACCAACGTGTCATTTAAACACAAACAATAAGTTCAGGTGAATAAAGTTCAGGTGAATAAAAAAGGAGAAACTTTAAGGTTTATTTCAATTTACATGATCAAACCAACCCTTCATTTCTTGCTTTACATACTTTGCTATAAAGTGCATCGTGCTGGAAAACAAAGTGAATCAACTTGGATTTAGGTTTAATCTGGATGTTTAAATGTAAAAATGAGCACAAAACGTCAGGGAGCGTCTGATTGGTCGATTCTTTTCCTTGGTTTTAATGAAGGTATAGCAATAAACCTCAAACCATCAGAAAAATCCAAACACATATCAATTGATGTTTTTTAGACTGGAGAAGCACATCATGCTGCTTCCTCATGCTGGTCACTGCCAAGGTCACACATTACTGTGGGACGGTAATCAGCATTTGCAGGCAGTCAGCCAATAATCCAATCCTATAAACCAAACAAATCTAGTCATTAAAAAAAGCTGTTTAGCATCAGGATTGGAGAAGATTTTCACCCAAAAATGCTAAACACAAACCAAGAAATTGATTTTTTCTTACAAATGTGGTAAATATGATGTATTTACAGGAAACACATCATATAAAGAAGAATAAAGTTTATTGATCTCCAAGGAGAAACTGATCTTTAGTGTTTCATAGTTTCTCAGAGTACATAATTAGTAAATATTATTTAGCCATAAGCAACACAAACTGTATTACTATGTTTAAATAAAGAAAAATATTATTTAGTAATAAAAAATAAGAAAAATATATACATAATAACAATAATAACAAAAACAATAATAACAACAATAACAAAAACAATAAAAATAATAATATTGTTTTTATAATAAGTGTTCAGATTTAATGCTAATTAATCAACCAAACAGGAACTTCTTGACTTTTTGTGCTCAGTTTAGCTCCAAAAAGAGATTAAAGCAAAAATGTTCAATATTAGGCGTAAATCTTCTGCCTGAAACTAAGTTTCATTGTCCAAAATAAACATCAGTTTATAATATTTAGCTTTGAATCAAATGTAACAGGTTCCAGAAGATTTTTCAGTATTTTGCTGTTTTTTGGGATTTTGTCTCAAACTGTATCATCTTCAGAAAAAGATTCAAATGGGGATATAAAAAAACAAAAGATGGCTGACAAGAAAACGCTTAAAGATGTCATTTAAATCTGGTTTTGGATGAAAGGTCAGAGTTGAGGACAAATCAGTGCAAACCTCTGATGTTTTCACAGATTATCTGTTTCATGTTAAACAATCAGGACATGGTCACAGTTTGATCAAATATGTAAAAAAACATTTTTTAAAAGGTACGTACTGCAGCTTTAAGGTCTGACTGCTTGGAAGGAAACCGTCACATGCTGACGTTGACACAGAACGGAAAATGTTCACAGTGAACAGCAAACTCAGACGTGGTGAGCAAAGGCCTTCGTTTCACCAAAAAACAAAAACAAAACTCATAAAAAGTGTTTGACAGTTTGAGATAAAATACAAAAGACTTCCTCTGATTTTATCTCAGACATAAAGACTCCGGCCTCATAACACTGAGTGATGTCCTCACACGGCCTGAAGCGGCGGCTCTGATGTGACCCCTGGGGGCCCCGGTCCGACTTCACAGCTCACAAACCAAATGAGACGTGGGCTTTGAACGGAAAACACCTGAATCCCTCAGGTGTAAAAAATTAAACAGCCCATGAAAAAGAAACTAACGGAAACTGCCTTTGTTAGGCGTCAGATGCACCATGAGAGGTCAGGAGAGGTCAGGAGAGGTCAGGAGCGTCAGGGCAACCCAGACTCGACACCAAATCCTCAGGCTACAGAAAAACTTTTAAATAACACCTAAAAAAAAAAATACAAAGTTCAGAAATGCGCTCAAGACACGTAAAAATAACGTCTGAATCACCAAGGTAACATAAAAACAAGACAACAATGAAGACTTAGACATGATCAGCAGTCTGCACAACGTGGGTGTGTGTGTGTGTGTGTGTGTGTGTGTGTGTGTGTGTGTGTGTGTGTGTGTGTGTGTGTGTGCTAGTCTGAGACAGAACGGGGTTAGAGAAACGTCAGTTGAGGTCAAACTTCATCTTCTGTGAAATCAGAGGCCAAATAAAAAAAAAAAAGGCAGACGGTCTTTAGGACTCCTGAGGGACGACCTCCATGACCTTCTGACACCAGGCAGTGGTCGTTGCTGCGAACACAACGAATCCAGAGTTTATGTTACTGTCCGACATTTTCTGCTCAGATTCAACCAGAAAAACCCCAAATAAAGGCGACAGCCATATTTATTGATCTGTAATGTTTAATTTAACTCAACGCTGCAGGATTAATGGAGACTGAAATATTGAATGAACATCTAATTGTAAATAAATAAATTATCCAGATGTAATGCAGGGACAGGTTTTTTCTTTAAAGCAAAAAAGATAAATAAAAACATTTAAAATGTTGTTTTAATGAATATCTGCAAAATAAAACTAATAAAATTATTTTTAGACAAGAAAACAATGTGCGACTCTTGCTCTATTTCCATGTTTCCTTTACACCAAAATAAAAATGTATATTTTAAATGATATTTCAGTGAATATATGCTAAACAAACTAATTAAATAGCTAAATAAAAATGACAAAAAAAAATTTAACAGAAAAAAAAGTCAATCTTTTTATTCAAATTATTTTTTTCTTTCATACAAAAATGTAAAATAAGTAAATAAATGTGTTTCAAATGTTATTTTAGTGAATATCTGCAAATATAAATAAATAACTAAACAAAAAAAATTATATATTTCTATTTTAACTGACTGACCTGCCACAATGAATTTAAATGATTTTTTTTAACTAAATAAACCCATTTTAGAAAAACATTTCATAATGACTGAATTTAGTTTAGTAAAAAAAACATATTTCCTAAACCTATCTGACTTTATTCAGTCTTTATGTAAATTAAGAATATTTATAATGAAGTTTATGTTTGTTGGATTTTTTATGATTCATGAACTTTTGCTTTTATTGATGCTCCTGAGCGCCTTCATCATCATCATCATCATCATCATCATCATCATCATCTTCACTCCAGGACATACAGATTCATAATTTACTCACAGATGCCGCGCATCATCCACCTGGGTTTGTTCTTCCACCAAACGCCGATGAAGTAGACGGGCAGCCCGGTGGCGATGATGCCGAAGCCGGTGGCGCATTCCTTCGGCGTCTTCCAGAAAGACACGATGATGAGGAAGAGGCAGGCGAGGACGAAGCTCACTGGCAGCAGGATGTTCACCTGCGGCGGTGGAGACAGAGACTCCAGATTTCATGAAAACTGTTCAAATCTTTAACAGTGAGGCTGTTTTTTAGACCATGTCGTCCATGACGGGTCACCTTCAACGACCTCCACAGGTCAGAGATGAGCTGCGTTGACAGAAAACATGAAAACCTGCTCAGTTTTCATGTCCTAGTTTATGACGGGTGGAGATAACATTTACACAACGGATAAAGGAGAAAAAATACACAAACTGAAATATTTTTTCCATATTTATCCAGGTGTGTGAAACAATCAACTATTCCAGACTGTGTCGAAACCATGGCACCTGGACAGTCCCAAACCCTTCAGGCGTGAAAACTGCCAGTTCCTAGAAAACCTGTGTCCCTAGAAGGAAATGTCCTTTAAAATGAGGAATGAATCACTTCATAGTGATGACATGGGAATAAAAACGCTCCAGGCTCAGGACATTTTGCTGCTGTTTTAGAAGAGGACACCCCTTCCTGTCGCCCGTAATAAACGTCTGTCCGTTAACGGCGGCTCGTTAACGGCGGCTCGTTAACGGCGGCTCGTTAATGGCTGCGTCTCTCCTCCTCCAGTCAGATCAATCTCCACTGGTCACACTGGAAACGAGCTGAGCAGCAGGAATGTGACGGAGAAATAAACGACATGGGGAGAGGCAGAGGATGCTCCGGCCGTCCATCTGCCTCGTTTTGTTTCTGCCATACGTGGCGCCACGCCAACAGCCAACCGGAGCCAAGCGGAGAAATGACAGCCAATCAGAGGTCGAGACAGTCCGGCTGCAGTTTCTGCTTCAGAATGGGATTAGAGCGGCACAAACTGAGGGAATGGAAACTTTGTTCTCAGATTTCTGACTTTACTCTGAGAATTCTTCAATCTTTTTTCAAATATTTCTGAAATTGATCAGAAAATTCTCTTATTTCTAAGCTTTCTGACTTTAATGAAAAATATAACTTTTTAAATCAGAATTTCAGACTTTTTTCTGATTTTTGGCTTCAATTTAAAAATTCTGATTTTTTTTTTTCACAATTTCTGACTTTAAGGCAGATGAGCACCTCAGAGCAAACAGCTTCAATGATGCTCATTGATCTCACCGTCTGGAGAAAAAATGTCAGATCGAAATGATTTTTTATGTGGCAGATTGAGTGACCCTCATCTTTTTCAGTAACTTCAGAGAGGCTGACTGCTGGGAAATCTCTAGCAGGAAATACCCACCAACTCCCGGCTTGCAGACACCAACAACTGCAGATGAAGAGCTTCCTGCTTCATTTCTGCTCTTTGATCTGAACCGTTTGATTCGGCTCTCAATAGATGTTTGTTTGTCGGCGAGACGCTGCGATCGCTCTGCCCCGCTCCCGCCGTTCTGCGTTAACTCACCTTAATCGGCCGCTCCAGGTCGGGCTTCTTGTAGCGGAGCCACATCATGCCGAGGATCGCCATGGCGATGCAGAGCCAGTTGAAGAAGCTGAAGAAGTTGATGACGGAGAAGATGTCGTTGGAGAAAGCGTAGAGCAGCGTCATCAAACACTGGAGAGAGGAGAGCGCGTCGTTATTCAGCTGGACTAAACCTGACGTCATGTTTAACGTAAAAATGTAACTAAAAAGGAAAAACTACAATTACACACCGTGAATATGAGTGAGGGCAGCGGCGTCAGCAGTGTGGGGTGGATCATGGACAGCAGGCTGGGCAGGTGACCCTCCCGCGACCCCACATAGAATAACCTGAGAGGTTGGAGAAGTTGAGCGAACCGAACCGATGGTAGAGTTTTTCAAGCTGCATTTCCATGTCAAATGAAATCAAATTTTTATCCTGTAGGTTTGCAGCAATTTATCAGCCAGCCGATTTCCTTCATTCTGGAAGACCTGTGATTGGCCCATACTCACATGTGGAGCCGATTTCATCCCCGGATCTGATCGACCTCAACTAAAGTATAAAAATCAAACGATGTCCTCTTTTGTTCTGTGTGAGAAAGGTTAGACTCGCCCAACAGGTCACGTCTGCATGTTTTCAGATAAAAATAGTCACCCAACTGTTGCCAACTCTGTGGCTTTCTTGATATATTTGGCAACATTTCAGACAAAAAAATGGTATCGGCTAACAAGCTCCGCCTACTTGGGAGAAGTTGTTGCGTTTGTAGTGTTTGGCGATTCAACTCTTTTGAAACACACATAACGTTTTATGAACTGTGATGCTGTGAGCTCTGGAGGAGCAAACTAAACAAACTAAACAAACTAAACTAAAACAAACCATCATCCTACTTCTTGTTGTTGCAGCAACATCCAGTTGTTGATCAAATGACCCATGTGATGCAAAAAAGCCTTTCCATTGCAGTTTTACGTCCATCTAAATACATCTGAAAAACTGCCTCATTCTAGCCCTGAAACTATTTTTAATCAAGAATGTTTTATTTTTTCTAAATGAGTGCGTGAATGACGCAAATTTATTTTCAGAACTTCAATTTGCACAGTTCTATGATTAATGTAGAAGCAGCTTCAGAAGGCCTGGATCGTGTAAAACTCGAGCAATACCTGGATGATGTGAAGAGTGAACCGTTGACCGAACCGAAACACGACAGACCCACAAACACGGGGATGATCCACGCGACGGGGCCCAGGTGGTAGTTCCCAAAGTCCTGCCGGAAACACACGCAAAGACTTACAAACAAACTACAGCACAATAATAAATCTGGTTTCATTAAGTGAGAAGGTGATGGAGGAAGTTCAACACCAAACCAGAGTGAACAGCTATCATAGAGGGTCAGTTGGAAGCCAAATTAGACAAACTGGAAGGTCACTCAGAGAGGAAGAAGCCATGACACCAGAGGAACCAGTGAACCTTTTTTCAGAGAGTTGGTTCAGACTTCCTTTAAATCTGCCTTTACACTGAGCACAGAAAACCTCTGGCATTTATGGTTTTAAATACTTCCATTCTTGATGTGAGGAACAACTGAAACAAATCGTGACTTCTCTGTCGAAGCAACTTGAACGTCCAGAAAACTCAACCTGAAACAGATGAGCTCATTCAAAAAAATCTGCTGCCACTAATAAATGTGTGAAGTTTGTCTTAAATAATGAGATGCAATGGAGAAATAAAATCAAACCATTCAGGAGTCAGAGGAAAATCACTTCTTAAAACGTGTCTTTATTCTCTGACATCTAATTACGACTTGATAGTGTGACTTTTTTGTTGTGATGTTTCACTGTGTTAATGTTTTGGTCAGCACTTTGGTGCAGCTTTAAACCTGTCTTTAAAAGTGCCACATAAACAAATCATAGATCAGGGCAACCATATTATGTTGTGGTAATATTTCCAGCGTTTCCAGCAGTGAAGATGTGCAGGAAAAGGTTGCAGGCCGGGTGTGAACTCACCACAGCGACAGCCTCCGAGCTCAGCATGTCAGCGGGAGAGATGGTGGTGAAGTAGGCCAGGTTGGTGAGAACGTAGACGGCGGTGACGATGGGCAGAGAGATGATGATGGCTCGAGGAAGGTTTCTGGACGACACACAGACACCAAACAGTCGATTACGACAACTCAAACTGCAGCCTCTCAGTGCTGATAGAAATCACAACAACCTACTTGTAAGGCTCGATCATTTCTTCAGTGACAAAGTTCAAGTAGTTCCTGCAAACAAAAGATACAGAAGTTAAACTGCATGTTTTAGAAAACATTGGGAAAAGGAGACAATGTAGATTTCTACTGATCAGCCTGTCAGGACTGGAATTCACTAATGATGGGTTTAGAGGAGAAAGAAGGTGATGCTGAGTAATCAGAGACTCAAGCTGAACAATCACTGACTGAAAACAACAAGACGTACAAAAACTATCTAAATCCCCACGTAGTTACAGCTTGGTTGGTTGGACGAAAGACTACACTGGTTGGTTGGATGCATGAGGGATGAGTGAATGGTTGTTTGGCTTGTTGGTTGTTTGGATGGATGGATGGATGGATGGATGGATGGATGGATGGATGGATGGATGGATGGATGGATGGATGGATGGATGGATGGATGGATGGATGGATGGATGGTTGGATGGATGGATGGATGGATGGATGGATGGATGGATGATGGATGGATGGATGGATGGATGGATGGATGGATGGATGGATGGATGGATGGATGGATGGATGGATTAATGGATGCATCTACATGCCTGTAATCTGTTCTCATGGCTCTGTTCATTTTGGACTCACCAGCCACCGTAGGCAAAGAGGCCGCTGTAGAGCGCCAAGCCGATGTTACCGAACTCATAACTGGATCCTTTAAAAGAGTTTTCAGGAAGAAGTTCATCCGTTCCACCTGAAAAAAACAAAACAACACAAAACTCAGAGCAGAAAAAAGGAGAAAAAAAAGGCAAAAAAGTAAATAAAATCAGGTTGTTTTGGTCCAAGCTGGAGGAAGAACAACAATGCTTCACCCTAAATCTGCCCCAGTTGAGAGGACTAATTGCTTGGAAGAACAAAAACCAAACATTTGCAGATGGAGCTTGTAAAATAGGATCCAAATCATCCAGTTGTCCAGACATGACAGGGCAAACTTTGAAGCATCTAAAACTCTCCGACTTTCAGGTTTCTGCTGGTTTGAGCGGCTCAGAGTCACATTCCTGCTCCCCTGGACCCACATTCTCAGACCTGGCGACGGTCGCTAAACCAACGGCTCCGGGCCACGTTGGTTCAGCGAGGGGTAGATGTAAGCCAGCGTGGGAACCTCTCCTCTGGGCCGGGCCGACGGTCTGGACGGCAGACCAACCATGCGTGGCAAACCTCTTAACGTTGCTAACAACCTCATGCCTGTGCTGGTACGCCAACATTCCTCTGAGGCACAATTTGTAATGTTTCTACTTATTTGTACATTAAATTATGAAAGTAATAGAACCAATAAATAAAAATGCTGGAAATAAGAAGCTGTCCTGAAAAATTTCCATATTGGCTAATTTTAGCATTAAAGCTGCAGCAACTTTCCCCCGAAAATGCAACTTATACTCCAGTGCGACTTATATATGTCTTTTCCTGCTTTGTTATGCATTTTATGGCTGGTGCGACTTATAGTCCGGAAAATACGGTACTTCTCTCAGTACTAACCAGAAACAACCAATCAGAGCTCGGAGACAGATCTTAGCGCTGTCAATCGCCATCCTCTTCATCAGACTGTTGTATAACAACAAAATGTTTTTAGTCAAAAGCTTCTTCTGAGCTGCTGTAATTGAGATCCTAAAACGTCTAAATAAAACTTTCCCAAAGGTTCCCAAAACAGATGAGCAATTATAAAACTTCTGCTCTTTGAAAAGCAGAAGTTGAGACTCCTGCACAACCAATAATAATGCAGAAAGTGGTTTCTGGATGGTAAGTCAACAACAAAACACTTGTCTTTTCCAGCAGCCATTGTACTGTGAATGCAGCAGTAAAACGTGCTGGAGCTAAGCTTGGGTTGCTAGGTAACGGCGTAGTGCTCGGTTGTATCTTATAAAACAGTCGTGTATTTTTTCAAGGACTTGGATTATATTTAGCAGCAGTAGAAACCCAAATGGAAGCACTAAAATGTGCAAAATATGAATTTTCCAAGATATGTCCCCTTTAAAACAAAGTTTAGTAATAGTTCAAATATTAAAATTTCCTTTGGGATCAATCAAGTATTTCTGAATTGAAGTACATTTTTCATAAAATCTGTGACAACATATTTAATTTCTGGCCTTTGGTAAAGAGGAGACAAAGCTTCACGGAGCAATTCCGACAATAAGAGAATTTAAGCATTTAAAGCATTAAACACGCTTTAAAATCGCATGTAAACATTGATTGTTTTACATTTGTTGCAAAACAATCAATGTTTTACAATTGATTTTAAAACATTAAAAAAACCACTAAAGGTTGTAACACCGTGCCTAAGAAGTCCCAAGAATACGGTGCAAATGCTGTAAGTAAAAACTCATCAACTAAAAGAGTCAGAATTTATTTTACATGATTATTTTCTTCTTATCCCTCCAGCCGATGCCCTCTCATGTATCAGCATGTCCAAATCAGTTGTGGTGTTGCTGCTTCTCTAAGCCTCCAAAACAAGAAGAACGGCTGAATCTCTCTGACCTTCACAGATCCTCATGCTGGACTGGAAGTTATGATTCACCTGAAACTCAGATAAAGCAAAATACTGGCGGAAAATGTTCAGCTCCTGCTGATCAACCCAGGAATGACTCTTCTGAAACTTCAGAATGAAAACCTTTAAATGTAATGTTTACTAGAGCTCTAAAATAGATGAAACCTTTGAAGTTTTACATGTTTTCTTCTGCTTTTTAGCTTCCAGCCAACACAGATTTAATAAGCTGTGATAAGTGAAGCAAACAGGAAACATGCAGGCAGGTGAACACATGCCAAAACCACGTGAACAAATTCCTGTTTCTGCTTCAGTGACGTTTCTGGAAAATAAATTCATCTCGATTACAAACTATTTAAAAGTGAAACATGATGCAGGACTTCAACATTTTGCGGAGCGTGTTTGTTTCTAGATTTATCTGATCTCAGATTTTAGCAGTTGTAAGATTTCTCCTCTCGTCCATTTCCTGCGTTTGGAGCGGTCTCTGGTCCACTTCCACCAAACTGAGACTGAACGTTTGCATGAGGGACACAGTTCTGATTTTTTGGTCTGAATCCGAGTTGGGTCGGTTACTCAGAAAGTCCGGTTTGTTCCCTGCCTGAACGAACCGGACTTACTAGGCAAACGAACTGGAGTTCAATTAAAGCGGATTAAACAAGGCTGGTGTGAATGCAGCCTGAATGAAGATGATGCATTTGCCTTTTCTGGGTTAGGCTTCATTAACAGATTGTGACTGTGTTTAATTTGTATTCCAGTATTAAACAGGTCAGCTCTGCTGTTAAGGTGGAGTTGAATAAAGTTTTCCTCCACATGTTGGTGCAGAGGGAGGGACCAACTCTGACTCAGTCAGCGTAAACACAAGTTGAATTCACCTCAAAGAGTTCATGAATGAGTAACTTCAACATGTCAACAGCCACTTTTACCAAGAGGGAAACTTTATTTAACTGTTGGGTGAGTCAACCTGCAAGGAGGTTGAGGAAACGCTGCATCTGGATTCAGGGTGTGATGTGAACCAACTCTGTCTGAGGAGAGGAATTAACATCAGTGTTTGCAGCAAACAGCCTGGCTGGCCGCCTGCTTAATCTGATTAATCTGGTCTCTAATCTGAGACGCCTCCTGAGTCACGCTCACGTCAATCAACAAAAAGAAATCTGAAAGGTGAGGAAACCACATTCCTGATGGTGACATACTGAACGAAATCCTCAAATGTTGAAAAGAGCCTAGAACTTGAAAAAAAAATATTAATAACATGACCTCAACATGAAGCCAGGGAGATCCCAGCACTGAACTTGTGTTTGCTGATCTAATTACAGCAGCTTTGGTGCAACTCCACAGGATCGGAGGAATAGGAGCTAAACAGTCATTAGAAGAAGAGGAATAACAGAGCAAACACCAGATCAGACGGGACTCTTAAAAAGACAAATCAGAGGAGTTACTCCTCACAGTCCAGGAAGAAACCTGAACAGGTTCTGCATAAAAGAGCTGGAGGGTTTGTGAGGCAGAGACTTTCTGCTTCCCACATAGAAACTCTGGGTTTGCTACATTAGTTGCATATCTGGACAATATCAAGCTAAAGTGTGAATGTGTTTCAATTCAAATTTATCTCCTACAAAATGATTTGTTTATTATTCATTTAGTTTATTATTGACCTCATTTCCACTTCTGCTAACTGCTAATGTGCTAATATTGAAGCTAATAGTTAGTTTAGGGGTTTTGCTAACTGTGAAAAGGTTCAGCTCATTTAACTTCCACTAAATTAATTTTTCTGGATGAATTTCAAAGCACTAATTCACTTGGTTGTTTCATAAACAGTTGAATTCAGCTTGATAAGCGTTGAAGTTTTGGTTATTGACTTAAGATTTATTCAAGCAGATGTTCATATTCATGCTTTTATTTTGAAGTGGCTTCTGTTTCCTCTCCTCTGTTTTTGATAAACTGAGTGAACAAACGAATGAGGTTTAAGAATAAAACACTTACATGGACAAACAAGCATGAGTGTTAAACAAATACATAATAAATCACATACATGAATGAGGGATCTGAATTTATCGTAATTATCATACAAATTTTGATTTATCATTATCACCACGAATTTCAATTAATGATGTTTAAAAGATCTAATTGTGTTTATCTTAAACCTTATTAAATCAGCTTCTTTTCCAGAGATAACAGATATGAATATAATATCTTTTTTATAAGAGACTTAAACATTTGTTGGGTTTTTTCATTCCTTCCTGCTGACCGCTCTTTGTTCTCAAAGTCTGAACAGTTTCCACTCGGTGTGGAGCGCCCACCGGTCAGCTGATTCCATCTGTGACCTGTGACCTCCTACCTCCACACAAGCACATGTCATCACAGCTGCCAGGATTTCTACATTAAAGAGGACTTATCATGTAAATCTCTGCTGCTTCTAAAAACAACCCAAGTTCTTAAAAAGAAAAATCTTGTTTTTTGGAAATAATTTATTTTTGGAAAACAAGCTCTTTCAAAAACTTCCCAATTGATGAGTCACAAACAAAAAATGTAGTAAACATGTTTTATGTGGTATCAATGATTTGATACCAACCTGTTCAAAGGAAGGATAATAAGTCACCTTTAAGAAGTGCCGGTCATGCTATGGCTGCAGTGATTAGTTTTATCAGAACGGTTCTGGTTCAGTTCTGTACTTGCAGGATCTTCCAGTTTTTATGACTGAAGCAGAAACTTGAGTTTCTTCTACACAAACATGAAGTAACTGATATTTCTCAGCAAGAATTTAACAGAAACATACAGAACATTTCATCCAGAAGTCAGAACAAGGGAGCTACTGTTGTGAATTTTTGTTTTGTTTCACTCTAAACTTCAATTTTAATCAGTTTGGTGTTGTAACTGTGAGCCAAGCAGCAGAAGATGACAGCATGGCAACAATTCAGAGAGGAATATACAGGTCTCAGCTGCAGACACATCAGAGATTGTCTTCAAGGCATCATTGTTTGAACTAATAAACGCTGCAGCCGAAGACAAAACAGACATCTCTGTGGGTCTCTTGTTCGCTTTTCCTGCAGGACTTGATAGTCGACTTCCCTCGCCTCGAATTTTCTCCTGCAAAGTTCGGTCTGACGGCTGTTATTTTAATATTGCTCTGTTTGAGACGTTCAAACAGGAAGTGAAGCAGCCATAAGAAACTGGCTGGCCTTGGCAGAGAACATCCACAAGAAAAAGTGCATATAAAAGCCTGCAGTCACAATTTTCCTCACTAGAAAGGAAGCATAAGGCATTAAGGATCATAGCAGCTTCGTTTTGCTGACATAAACCTGTTGAACATTCGTCTGGAGAACATTGTGACATTTTGTTGACCCACTTCCTGTCTGAGTCATGCCAACACTCAGTCATTCCAGGTTAAACTGGGTGGGATCTTATTGTTCCTCGTATTAATGGTATCAGAACCGTTAATGGTTCCCCTGCTGAAGTGGAGATGAGAGTCTGAATATTCCAGGTGTTCAGAAAAACCAGAATGTAGAGTAAATGATTACTCTACTAATCAAGATATCGAAAATTACTTCCGTTCTGTAGTGGCTAATAAAACTAGTAAAACAAACATATAAAAGAGAAAATGCTGTTAAGTGAACAATTCAGACATTTCAGGCCTCAAATGCCATACAGTTCAAATGTCACCTTTGGTCTCAAATATGGGGAAAGAAAATTAAAGTTCAAAAACAGATGAGAAATGTCACATTATTTGTAATGAAATAAACATTTCTCTACATAGGAAGTGGTTCTACGGAAGCCCGAGAAGGCAAATTTTCTAAGTCAAGCTAAATGTTGTACTGCTATTTAAAAAAAAAACAAATATGAAAGGTTTTAATTTGTCTTTTTTTCCAAGGAAATAGTTTTTCTGAAAAATTACTAAAAACAAATCAATTGACCAACAAGATCTGAACAAATCAAGAAATTTTTGTTCTGTCCTGAAAGGAAGGCAAGAAAAAATATGTGAGCTGCATTGGAAAAATGTTGGTCTTTGTAATTATTTTTCTGTCACCAGAGGCACTACGTCTTTATTTACACCACAGATTTTTTTATTAACAGATTTACTGTCCATTAGTTTATTTACATCACATAGTTTATTTTTTTCTCTTGCCTTTTTGGAAAAAAAAAAAACGTTCCTAAAAAAAAAAAATAAACAAAAAGCTTAAAATTTCTTTTAACATAAGTCTTTAAAACTTACAGTAATGTGAGAAAAAGAAAAAGCAAACAAAGATAAACAAATTGCTTGCCTTTCTGGGCTTCCATAGATTCCTACTGAATAAAGGGTTGGATTTTTCCAAAATGATCAAAGTCAGGTGATGCGATAAAAGTTCAAGTTAGTTTTTTAATTGCTAACTGCTGTAAACTGTCTTGTCAGTTTTGTCACAGGTATTTAAAAATACTAAATAATTTTTCAGAAAGAAAGGAAAAGCACACCACACACAGGAAGTTGTGTGGCTTTGCGACCCGAGCGACGTACCTTGGCCGATCTTGACGAAGCCGATGATGATGATGAGGCCGAGCGCCAGGAGCTTGGCAGCAGCGAAGAAGTCCTGCACCCTGGTGGCCGCTTTCACGCTGTAGCAGTTCACGAAGGTCAGCAAGACTGCGGAGAAAGACGAGGCAATAAGATGGAGACAGAGGAGCTGTTCTAATGAAAGAACTGCTTTAAATTATTCCTAGTTAATTTAAGGGTTTGTGAATCCCAATTAATCTCATTTTAATCAAAAACTACATATCGACAAAACAAAAATCAGAAAATCCCTTTCTGCTGATAAAGTATCAAATAAATAGACATATGAACTCAACAACAAAGATATTTTGTGTTTTTAATCTGTTATTTCGGTTCTTCAGTCATGAAATTGGTGGTTTCAAATGTTTCAGGAACTCCTGATCATCCCTGGAGCGTCGTTAGAAATGTGGACGCCAACAGAAGCGTTAGCGTCGGTGCTGCTACATGAGTAGCAATGAGATGCTATTTTAGCCTTGAACAGTTCTGCTGATAAGCTCACTCCTTTAAGCACAACTTGAACACAACTTTGATTGAACTACAGTTCGTTTGGTTCGTTGGTGCGAATCCTGTGATATGGACCAAAAACTGAACTCTGTTCAGAATAAAATCCTAACTTCTGTGCGGTTCGGATGCATATGTGAACGCCAAGTGGGCCACTTTAAAAACAGTAAGTGGACTAAAGCCTAGGGCATTCTGGGTAAACACAACCAAAATAAATATGAGTCTTGCACTAGAGGGAGAAATAAAATGCCAATTTCAAAAATACTCTTGTTGATAAAAAGTGTTGATGTAGGATGAGGCATTGTGTTTATGCCAGATCAAAATTGGTTAATTTCACAAAAATTCATTAAAAACATTTTTTAGCACCAAGAGTCACATGATCAACAACCAGGTGTGGGAGAACCGTGGTGCTTTTTAATGTGTGAACAATGTTATTAATGTGTGATTTTAATTACTTTTCTTACTTAATGGAAACACTGCAATTACAAAATGTGTTTTTTCGACAATATTGGAACATTGACAAAGTTTTGCACACTTTTGTAATGAGAATTTGCAGTTTTGGTCCTCAATCGAACCGATTCCATCAGGTCTGATAATCTGATTGTTCTATCACACCTTAATGTGCTTAATGTTGTTTAACATGGAGAATCAGAGCTAAAATTAGAGGTGGTTTTAAATGAAGAGAGTGACAGGTGTCTTCTAGAGGCTGTTCAGGTGAAATATGGTAGGAAACAGAAAGCTTTAAGGAGCTGGAGGTGTTCATTGATTGATATCAGAGGTTGCTGCTACAATTGGAGTATTTCCTATGAAAAAAACATTGTTTTGCTCTCGGAACATTTGTGCAACAGCAAATAGCTGCTGCAGTCGGACTACATCCGAAGAGACGGAGTGTCCCTGAATTTCACAGAAATGGAAAACATTTCTGTGGGAGAACAAAAACAACAAAAGAAGAAAAACTCTTTTCAGAAGCGCATGTACAGTGCTGGTACTCAACATCCCCTGAAGGGGCCCAAAAAGCCCATTAGAAGTGATTAACTGAAGCAGCAGGTCCATTCAAAGCTCCTAAATCAGGTCGGAGCCACAACAGAGGACAAGGCGGCACAATGAGGCTCTGTGGCAAACACAACAACACAAAGGGGTCGCGTACAGTACCGGGCCGGACTGTTCTGGGTCCAGCAAAAAAAAAAGAAAGAAACAGGTCAAACAGAGAGGAAGAATTAGTCCTGTCATGATAAATTCTGCCGGACAATAAATTGTCCCAGAAGTTATCATGATAAACGATAATATCGTGTTTTGAGATCATTTCTAAGCAATATAATGAGAATGTGTTCTTGCATAATAATGCAAGAACACATTCTCATTTGAAACTTTAAATTCTAAATTAACACTGGGATTTAATTAACACCGTACTGGAAGAAACCTTAAATATCCAAAACAAATCAAATAAATTATGAAATCTCTGTAAATAAAAAGGTCCAGTTGAGACCAAAGCACCAGACTGAGAACTTTTCTCATCTGAGTTTTGGTAGGAAGAGAGAAAAGATCCTGCAAATAAAAATGATTCAGTTTGTTTTAAATTATCATGCGATTAATTAATTTATTGATTATTTCAGCAGGTTTAGAACCAATGTGGACAAAACAGACACATGGAGAAGAACATGGGGAAAATGTCCCTGAGCAATACTAATGACACACACGCACACACACACACACACACACACACACACACACACACACACACACACACACACACACACACACACACACACACACACACACACACACACACACACACTTTGAGCCTCCAGGAGCTCAGCTCAGTCATGTGGTCTCAGTCAGGATTTAGCCTTCAGTCGGTCTGGAGATTAGGTACCAAACTGGATCCACATTTATATTAACATCATGTGCAATCACACAGAGATGGTGTGTGTGTGTTCGCGCGCGTGTCAGTGTGGGTGCGTGATGCAGCTGATTGGTTAAAATGAGGTTTCCTGTCAATTCATGAGTCCCGAACAGAGAGAGGTGAAAACTCGACGAAGCAGATGATAATCCAGAGTTAATCTCATTAAGACTCTGAGGCACAAAGCAAACCGTGTTTAAATGTAACGAGAACCTGAAGACAAAACACTCTTCAGTCAGGAGCAACAATTACAGAAGACCAATATCACTGATTGATTTCAGTTTGATTTGGTAAAATCATTTCAGCAGGTATTGAAGCTGCAAAAGTCCAGTTTGGTTTCTGTGATAATTTGACCATCTTTATGAGTTTGTTTGTATGTTTTATGAGAGTTTTTTCATTTCTTTCAACAACAAAGAATCACAATTTTTTAAATGTCTAATTTGTTAATGTTTTAACAGTATTGTTAAAAACTGAGCAATCAATGTTGTTTTTAATCTCTGCAATCTGTTTTCAAATAGAAGAAATATAAAATATAATTTTGAATTTTGGAAATGATGTGTTATATTTGTGTAAATTGGATTAATTGATAAAACAAATAAATCTTTATTGTTTTATACAGAAGTACTTAAGGCATAAAGCATATTGTCACAACTTTTGTTTTATAAATTCAAGGGAAGTAAAATCTATTTATATTCTCCCTCCGTATCCATTTCTTCTCATATCTCCTACCTTGCAAGTATGAAATAGTGAATTATCATGGAAAAAGTGGGAATGTTTAGATCTGTCCTGGTTAGGGGCACAATAAACATATAATACATTTATAGTGATGTGTGTTCTCATGTTTAGTCAAATAAAAATGTACCCAGTATTTTGCATCAGGTCTTTGAAAAGCAGAAAAGCTGCCAAGACAATATGTCTGATATTTTATACTTTCCATTTGTTTTCTAAATGAAAAGTTCACAACTAAATCAACTCTTTTCAATTGAATTTAAACACTTTTCTTTAATTTTTTTTAACAAAATCAAACCAGTTTTGTTTTGGCTCAATGTCTGAATACTTAAAAACTGCATCAGTTTTCTATTCAACTGTTTTATTGTGTAAATGAGGGAAAATGTGACCAGAAAGCAGCTGATGTAATAACGCCACGCTTTTCATCATTGTCATTAGAAATGCGCGCGCAGTTTGTACAGTTTGTACAGTCAGCAGCGCACGTGCTACTAAAACTGCAAGGTGAGACAGGAAGTTGTTTCCAACCACGTCCACTAACTCATCCAAAGGTGTCATCATCCGAACCCGAGGTGGGCTCGGTTCCGCCCGGATACTCACGGATGCAGAGGCAGGCCACCAGCTTGGCCCCTTGCTCCGGTACCGGGCACACCGGGAAGATGGGCTTCAGCAGGTTGGTCGCGAACACGTAGGCGACGATGTACTGAGAGGAGGGCCGGATGATGAGCAGCTCGATCCACAGCTTGAGGAAGGCCAGCAGGGAGCCGTACACCTCCAGGATGTAGGCGTAGTCCCCCCCGGACTTGCTGATGGTGGTTCCCAGCTCCGCGTAGCACAGCGCCCCCACGGTGGAGAACACCCCGCACACGGCCCACACGATCAGCGACAGACCCACCGAGCCCGCTTCCCGGAACACGCCGGTAGGCGTCACGAAGATGCCCGAGCCGATGATGGTGCCCACGATGATGGCCACGCCGTTCATCAGGGTGATGGTCCGCTTCAGGGCGACCCCGTCCTCCGCTGCGTCCGCCGGCAGGAGGCTGCTGGGGCTCCGGGCGTCGCTCCCCGGGGTCCCGGCTGGACTGGAGCCGGCGGACAGCATCCTCTCGGTCACCTGCCGGTCCTCTTCCCGGCCTCCCGAGGAGTTGGAGCTTCTCTTCTTCACCGATGACATCTGCGGTTGCTTCCTCTTTCTTCTTCTTCTTCTTCTTCTTCCGTGAAGCCGCCGCCTCTCCGCTCTGTCCCGCGATCCGGGACGGGCTGTGACTGCCGCTCAGGCCGGACTCAGACACGAGGAGCCCACGGTCTGAAAGCGCGTCTTAAAGCAGCGTGGTTTTCTGACCCAGTCTACAAAGAGATGGGAAGCAGACATGATGGCCCTCCTCTCCATCAGGGACGGCCCCCACCAACCTTTTCCGCCCTCTAGTGGTAGACTGAGCAATTTCAATTTCAAGAAATAAAATGTAAAGTATTTCTCTTACACAACAATGCTGTGGTTTGCGGGGAAAACAGACATTTTTAGATTAATTAGAAAAAACAAGAACATTTTTGTTCTTAAAAAAATTTACTAGAAACAATTTTTTATTCTATCATCAATTAGAAAATCAGCAATTTTCTGGAAAAGACATGAACATTTCTGAGATCCAAAAGTTTAAAAAAATGCAAGAAAGTACTGTATTTACATCTTTTAAAGTCTAATACTAATTCTTATATTTTTCTTCTATGCAAAACATGTTTTTTATCCGATTAGTTGTCAAAATAATGGATTACTAAAGTAATCATCAGCTGCAGCCCTAATTATTTTTATCCATCCACTCACCTGTCCAGTCATTCTTTCATTTTTGTAGGGTGGCAATTATCCTAACAGTCCTGCTTTTGGATTGTGGGAGTACCCAGAGAGAACCCATGCATGCACCAGGAGAACAGAAAGACCCGACTGAAATTCAAACCCAGACTGAAACAACCCACAAAGACATAAAGAGTTAAAGATCCAGAGTGACTTTAACAAGTCTCTAAACCTCAAATATATAATTAAAATTAAAGGTTTATTCCCAGTACCATCACTTAGTTGGTTTAATCATAAAACCCTAATGGTTTAGGAGTGAGAAACAATCACAAAAACTGCATCAGAAAACATTTCCAGGCAAGTTCACAAACCAACTGAACCAGTTGGACCGGTGCTATGTTAGACCGAGGGTTTCTAATTGCACTAGAAATGAGGAAATAAAGTATAAATCTTTTTATGGTAACTCTGGCTAGCCAAATCCAGAATGTGAGTTATAGCTGTGATCTATTGACACCAGTCTGGATGAGAAATGCAGTGTTTTGGGTGGAGGCTTGTGGTTTTTGTGGTTTTGATGTACTTGAATAAGCCCAGATGTCACATTTTGTATTAAAGACAAATAGCCGAAAGTGGTAGCATGAAATCAAAGGAATTATCTGCAGACTTTAGAGAAAGGATTGTCTTCAGGCATAAATCTGGGGAAGGAGCCAGAAACATTTTTGTTGCTCTGTCCTAGTGAACTGCATGACCTCCATCACTAGTCAATGGAAGAAGTCTGCACTAGCTGGCCGTCTAAACTGATCGAGAAAAAAGGGCTTTAGTCTGGGAGGAGACCAAGAACCTGATGGCTACTTTGTCAGAGCTCCATCATTGATCTGTGGAGAGAGGAGAACCTTCCAGCAGGTCAGGTATCTCTGCACCAATCCACCAATCAGGCCTAGATGGCAGCGTATCCAGACCAACGGCATTCCTTAATAAAACCTTTCAGGACAGACACTTTCCAATAACATCAGTCATTTTCATTCACACACATCCACACACTAATGATGATAAGCTACAGAATAGTAGCCACAGCTACCCTGGGGCAGTCTGACAGAAGCAAGGCTGCCATATTGTGCCATCGACCCTTCTGACCAACACCAGCAGGCAAGGCGGGTGAGGACACCAGGACACAACAACAAAGGTAGACGGAGTGGGAATTGAGCCGACGACCCACCCACTGCGGGGCAAACTCCTATCACCACCACCACCATCATCACCACAGGTTAAACTGGTGGCATCACATTCAAACAGCTTTGAGGCTGTAATTGAGCCAAAGGTTGAACAACAGAGTCTTAACCAAAGCTGGGGATTTGTGCACAAAATTTTGAGATATTAATTTAAAATAATTGGGATAAAGTCTGTAACGTAAAACCTAGAAAAAGTTGATACTTTTTGAACCTCCTGTTGTTCTTGTTGAGGATTGGTTGTGTGTAAAGAGAAGCTGCAACACAAATGTTATTGTTTAGAGCTATTGTAGTTCAGACCTGCTTCCACCGACTCTAAACACCCTGCAAGGAACCGAACCATCGATTGTTCAGTGGGACAGAGAGTGCATGTGACTGAATGTTTGTGTAATTTTTCTGCAGCCTACATGCAGATTCCCAGCAGGAAAATATGGAAACATTTGGCAGGACAAGACCTCTCCCACACCGACAGCCCACTGTTCTTTGTTTACACTCCCCTCAGATCCACAACATTGGACAGAAAAATCCTTTCACTCCTTTGAAGTGGGCAGTCAGATGAGGAGCTGGAATCTTCTTACAGCATCACGTTACGTCAGTCCGGTCCCGTGAGAAGAATTTCACAATCAACTTTGTGGTATTTTGACCTCATTCATAAATGCACCAGGAAACTCACCAACAGAACGGGTGGCAGCAGCTTCTGCCACTTAGTGGGAATTAGTTTGTTCACTTCCAGTGACAGCTAGCTGTGCACAGCAGGTATGAGTAGGCAACTAAATTCACCTGGAAAATATGGCTTTCTTTGCTAAAATCTGGGTGCCGTAGGTTTAATTATTAATGTTCAAAACAATTCTCTCTGCAATTGAGAAGTTTCAGACCCTCTCATCTAATTTTTACCCTGATGTCCCACTGCTAGAGCCCAGATCGATGCACTCAGAAGGATCTGTGTTTTTAAAGAATCCCATTTCTGTTGTCTTGAGATGTTTTCATTGGGATGTAGGTCAGTCGGTTAGAAACACCCCATCTTTTCCTCTCCACTCGTTTTTTTGTGTTGTTGGATCGGTAACTCAGGTCGCCATCCCTCTGCAGCATCAGATGCTGCTGAAGTCGATCTCAGAAGCAAGTTTGAATATGAAACAAATAACTAACAGATTTAATCATTTCTTTGATAGCTTTGCTGTCTCTATTCAAAAAATCTCACAGAATAACCAAACCTCATCATGTTCTATAGTTACTTAATTTTGTAATTTTCTGTTTGATAAAGTGTAAAAGAGCTCTAATTAATTCCTTCCATCTGTGGAAGACCAGGATGCTCTCGACACCAGCCATTGTCTGGTGCTGACCCCGCCCCAAACCTCCCATCTCTGAAAGGTTAACACTTCAACAGTTTCCTTTCAATGGCTGCAGAGATCAACAAACATGCCGAGTCTTACCCTGAACAAAAGCTACAAGGAATCTATGTAGCTGGACCAGAGGAATCCAGGAGCGCCATTCAAGAGCAGAAATAAGGGAAACCAGGGATGCAAACTCCTCCAGTAAGACTGGGACTGTTTTCAGTCTTGGCACTGGATACATTGTTTTCCAGTGTCTACTTCCTGGAAACTGTGCTAAGACACTGTTTGTAGTGCAAATAGGCACCATGGTGCTCTAAGGTTCAGCAGTGTTTGATCTATTGGACACTTTATATTTAGATACATTTGATGTTTGAACTATTCAAATAGACAGTTTAATGAGGGAGTTTTAGGTTTTCATGGACTTTAGCTGTTTGCCCCGAATACTGAGGAGATCCTGTGGATTAAACTTGATTCCATTTCATTCCTGTGTTGAATCAATTGATGTCAGTGGTCTTACAGTAGAATGTTATATTGCCATTAATTGAGAAACACAATTAAAGTAGTGTGAATAAGTTTGTTCACATGATGAGTCATTAAAATCATGCCGCACCTCCAACTACTTCCTGTCATCTTTTCTTCTTTATTTCTGTCAGTAGCAACATATGGTTGTTGGTGATATGATGCAAAAAAGTATTTCCATTGCAGTTTTGGGAAATAAATAAGTTTTGATACAACCAACAAAAAATTTCACCTCATCCTCACACCAAAACTTTTTATAAATTGCTGTTTCCATTAAGCAAATTTATTTTTAAAATGTCAAATTGAGCATTTCTATGGTGAATGGAAACACAGCCACTGTCCAGTCCAACAAGAACAGAAAATGTTTTGGGCCTGAGGGAACCGTTGCACTCAGACAGACAGACGAGTCGGGATTGAACTGCAGACATGGATTAAGGTGGAATCCTGATTTCTGACCTGAACGAAGGTCCCTCAGGTATTCAGAGATATACAAGCCCAATAAATGTTGAACATTTTGGCCTCGTCTGAATCCAGGAAATTATGTGTCTGCAGCCTCCGGAGAGCTGCGACTGCTTCACCTCGTGGTCTCAATATTTCTGACAACATCTTTCAAAGAAACTCTGCTGTCTGAGTTGACACCTGGGCAGAGTCACTGTGGAGGCATCTGGCAGCTTTGGCTTTAAATCTGGATCATGTTTATCTCTCTTCTTTGCCTGAACCTGAACCTGATCATTATTCAGATTAGTCATCTGCTAAATTGTTAGGAAAATTATTATCTTAGTTCATTTACTTTTATATTGAATGGTTATGTTTTCATATTATTTCGTGTGTTGTTTTCTTTCCCTTTTTCTTTTATTGTATATTCTTAACTGTCTTTTAGGGTTTTCTCTTGATGGTTGGAGATGTCTCACACATTTCTGTGTTAACGAGGCCCAATGATCTCTATCTGTATCCTGAGAGTGGTCATCATTGTGTTCCAAAGATGGGACATCAATGGTAGACCTCCAGAACATCCCATAGGATAGTGAATTGGTCAATTGTTTGCATGTCTGAGTGAGAAAGCCAACCTCTTTGTGTATTCACATAATAATAAAAGGCAGTTGGGGACTGAGAGCCGACGGAGTTGATCTCAGACAGCGTTTGGCAGCGGTTCACCGCGTCGAGCTCTTCTCCCCTTTTCTGCGGAAAAGTAATTTGTGTCTTTGGTTGATTCTTGCAGGTTGGGGAACACAATAAACCCGACATAAATCAAGTTGCAGAGATCTGCAAGACGTGTTTTCATTTTTAAAATACTCAAATACCATCTGTGAGGAAGGAAGTCTCCCCTGGTTTCCTGCTAGGTTTTACATAACAGGTGTTACTGAAACAGCAGCAAATACTAAAAACTGTTGCATAATCAGAAACGTGGAGCTGTGGTGTAAACAACTGTTCTTTCTGTCTGATTAAAGACAAACCTCTTGATTTGTCCTGAAACTGGATTTAAATGTTTTGCTGCAGGTATGGATGAAAGAGAGCAACTTTTTCCAGAACTTTTTAAAGGAAATAGAGTTAACAGAGAGTTTATGTTGGCACAGAGTCTGCTGCAGAAATGGGCCTTTCAGTCACATGAAGTTTTATTTTCCAACTTCTAGAGAGTTTTTTTAGTATATGATGCATCCCATGTCTAACATTTTTATGTAAATCTGAATAAACTGAATAAACTGTTCACATAGAAGTCTGATTTCATTTAGTTAGCAGCATTTTTCAGAAAATTGAGCAGCAAGATTTGATGTGTAAACACAGACTCATTTCCTCTCCACTAAAACCTTTGATTCAGATTTGCAGAAAAACAATCAGATGATTAACTGCAAAATAAATAATTACTCCTGTTAGCATCCTATTAAAGCCAGAAAATAGGAGTTTCTGTAACTCTGCAGGCTTTTATTTCTTTTAAAAGATTTGGAGCTGATATAAACACATTTTACAAAACGTTTATGCAAAGTACAGCTTCCATATATTACTATTTGACAGCCATTTATTCATATTTTACCATAAAAAAGAAATTAAACACCTTCTGATCAAACAGACAACAGCAAGCTTGCTCTCCATTGGACTATTATGCAATAACAGACTGTCTTCAGTCAGAGGTTGTTATACATACCGTTGTAGTACAGACTGCTACAGGAGATCCTCCCTCCACACATCCATCAGTATCTACAACAAAAAATTATATTATGAGTTCAAAATTTAATTTTCTTTGAGGATCAATAAAGTGACACGGAGTATCAGAGTGAGACTTGAGCATTTCATCCCCAACAAACCAGTTAAGGCTGCATTCAAATTCAAACAGGAATCCCACAAAGGAAAAGCTTTTGTCTCAAATCTCCGAAACGCCAAACAATCAGATCAGAGGAGCTGCTGCAGAAGCAGGAGGAAGACGAGGAGGAAGAGCAGCTGGCCTGGAGTTCAGAGGGAGAAGGGCCTCTCCGTTCATGTTCCTGTTTATACTGAGCAGAATCTGGATTGTTTTCTGCTTTTCATCTCTCCTCATTGATGATGGCAGCCGGACAGAGGCTCTGCAGTGCAAACCAAATGTAAAATCATAAAATATACATTTCACTTATTGATACAGAGCCATGAAAAAACATTTTCTCTCGATCAGATTTTGTCTTCTTTTGTCATAAAGATCAATACAAAGGCATGTTGGCACATTTTGATTTCTCTGCTCCTTCCAAATAATAACTGGTTTCCACTCTTAGCACCAACAGCCAATCAAGTGTCTTTTAAATTATCCTGGGTTCATGAACCCACTCTGCTCTGCAGAATTGTTTTAATTCTAACTGTTTCCAATATTCCTCTAATGTCAAGAAAACTATTTCACAATTGCAGTGTTTCCATTCAATAAGAAACATGATTAAAATCACATGAATACGTTTGCTCACATAGAAACATTTTGCACCATGATCCTCCAATTACTTTCTGTCGTCGTCTTCATCGCCAATGGCAACATCCTGACCCATTTCAATATGTCCAAATAAAAATACCAAAACTTTTTATCAACAAGCCAGGGTTTTCTTCTCAAAACTACTTGAACAATAATGACAATAAACCTTCAGCTACATTGATTTTCAATTGGACTGAGAGCAGTTAGGCAGTAACTGGTTACATTTTCTCAATTACATTTTCAGTAACTTTTTTGAAAGAATGTACTTTCAGGAATATTTTTGCTATGCTTTAGTTGTCTTTCTGATAATGTGATTTTTAAATATTAAATGATTGATTATTTGATCAGTTATTCCTTGAATTGCTGTTCTTCCAAATACTTTTTTTGCTCTTACTTGAGCATTTCTGACTACTTTTCACTTTAACTTGAGTAAAAATATGTTAAAGCATCACTACTCTGCCCACTTGAAGCGAATCAATAATTTCAGCCATGATTTTGTTGAAAACAATTGTTTGTCCTCATCCGTACAATCAGGGGAAACCCGGTACCGGAGTGTCTGAGCAGAACCTGAGCTTTCAGTCTCCTGCAGCCAAACACAACAAACAGCCACTGACGGTCGGCTTCAATCGCCTGCTCTGTGGCTGGACTGTGGGTCACACCCAGCCCACCCGGAGGTGCCTGGCCAACTGGTTTGTGCTGAACATCCCTTCATAGAGCCAGCAGTGCTTCAAAGCACAGGACCGAGTCAGACTGAGGCAGCTGGAAGCGGTTTTTATTTTGGAAAACGATCCGGATCGGGTTTATAGGAGGATTTGGCTCAGATGGGAACAGAGTCGGTTTTAATTTAACAACCACCAGGTGAAAAAACTTCACAGTAACATTATTTCCTTTAGAAACATCCACAAAACTTTATCACCATTCTACTAGTGTAGAAAAAACACAATTGCGGTGTTTCTATTAAATGAAAAAATGCAATTAAAATCATGTAAATATGCTTGTTAATGAGGTAAGTCATTAAAAACATGCTTCATCCTACCACTTCCTGCCATCTTTGTGTTTTCCACTCGTAGTAAAAAATAAACTCGGTAGAATGACATTAAACAGTCCTGACACAACAAAATGCAAGACCCTTCATTAATGTATTTACGGCCAACTTGAATATTTTCTAATAATTTTAATGCATTTTAAAGCCTTAGGTGTGTATACATGAATTTAAAGATGTGCAGATATTCTTAAGTTTGAGTCAGAAGAAGCAAAAAAGGTCTAGATTTGTAAGTTTCTTTAGATTAAACCTGTAATATTAACATGTGGATGACACTGCTGCAAAAACAACAAAGTGAGAAGGTGAGAGGCAGCATCGATGCTGAACATTCAAAAATGAGTTGATTTTAACAAACATGGATAATGTTGATGTTTCTTTGGACATGTTGCAGGGTTTTAGTGGGGCTCTCTGCCCAGAAGCTTTTTTGGACATGGCACTGAAAAGGATTCAGATGTTAAACATGAATACATCTGGGATCATTTCGAACATTTAATGCAACATGCATAGTACTAAAAGTCAAACTTGACAACAAATCCATTAAATAAAAAATAAAAGCAGTAATAAACTGAATGAACACTCTTCATCTGGTGAAACCATGATTTCGTTGATTTAGATTCAAAGCGTTGTTGAAAAATTAAATATGTCCTCAGTGTTCTAGGAACCAGGAGGTTTTGGGTCAAAATTGTTAAATTCTCCTCCATGGTTTTATCAGTTAGAAGAATTAATCCGGAAACAGTAAAGCAACTTCAGATCATCACTCCACCACCACCGTGTTTGACTGTTAGTGTGTAGCTGGTGTTTACATATAAAAACTGAGTTTAATCAAAGCTTGTAGCAAAGAAAATGACAGAAATGATCATTTTGATATATTACTTTATTGTTAAACATTACAGTTAGTTTCTTTAAAAATCAAAACGTACATCAGTGGTTTACAATTTCCCTCTCTTCATGAGGAGCAGGAATCGCTCTCAGCTGGATGGCAATCTTAACAAAGCCACACAGGTGGAGCAAAGCATGCTGGGAGTAGCCCAGCATGACACCGGAGGGGGCAGGAATGTAGGCCGAGCATTGGACAAATAAGCAGCAATATGCACTGCGTACAGTTACAATAAAAACAACGTACAGCTGCTTAAACATCCCACTGAGCTCCAGGTGATGCTACACATTCAGTTATACCTCAGATCAAAAATCAGGGATGTTGTTAAAACATCTTCAGAAATTATAGTAATGAAGATATTGTGAAGTAAACGTATTTCTACAGACAGAAAAAGGCATTCAAATATTTTAAAGTAACAACATTGCAACAAAAAAAGGCAAAAAAGTAACTTAATGCACAGTTGGAGCATAAAAGCAGCTCTTTTATGCTGTTGTTGCCCATATTTAATGTTTTACGCCACCTGTGTCAAACTCAAGGCCACGGGGCCAAATCCAGCCCACTGGAGCTCTTCATGTGGCCCTCAATGCTCCGAGTTACATAAATCAGTCCCTACAGTTTTTCACCATCGCAAATTCAAAAAGTCCTACAGCATAATTATGAGTTTCTTACAGATTTTCCGCAGAAATAGTCAAAAAACATTAGGTGTCCAAAGTGTGGCCTGCGGGCCATTTGTGGCCCTCAAAATGATTTTGACTGGCCCCTGACCATAAGTCAAGAGCATTAAAAATTTGGCCAATGAAATAGAAAACAACTAATAACTTTTGTTTGCCTTACTTGAAGTGAAATCATAGTTTGTGATCAATATTACACGTGATAAAAAGTCACATCTGGCCTTAAGTTTGCAAAATTTCTTGTAAATATTTCAAAATTTGCACCACAAAATCTGGAATCTGAAAAACGATCGCAAAATCCTGGCAGGACTGATCAACGTAAAAAGACTTTCTTTCCATTTCATAAATGTATTCCACTTTGAGTTGGTCTTTCACATTAAAACCCAATGTTTCTGATTGTAGGTCAACAGTGTGAATACTGACTTATTAATAAATGGCTGTCTCTGCATTCGATATTTTGACAGTTTTATAGCAGATTTCAACATACATTCTGACACAACTGGTCCTTTAAGAACATTTATGTGGCCCAAAACTGAAAAAGAGTTTGACACCCAAAGAAAACCCAAACCAAGCAGCAACGTTTGGCGCCTGCTGTGGCCCCTGTGGTGTTTATCTAACTATTCTGAAGCTTTCAGAACAGGTCGCCATCACTCGGTGCATTTCATCGCGCTGCGTCCCGCTCTGTCTGCTCCGGCGCGGGGAGCTCACAAGCCCCGGGTCACCGCTGCGAGTTTGGATAGCTGCATTGTGAAAGAGGGATTACGGGGATGGTGGCCTCTCGCCTCAACTGGACCGTAAATCAGAAATAAAAAAACTGATGTGATGAGTCTCTTCACCTCGAGCTTCAAGTTTATCTTTCTGGCAGAGCAGCGCTGGCGGGCGTGACGCCAAGCAGAAAGGAGGCTGGACTCCTCAGATAACTGAATATTGCTTAAACTGAGCAGATTGCAAAATTCTTCTCTCAGTAGAATCTGTTGCAAAATGCACTGGGTGTAGAAGAAAAAACAAGTTTAATATCTGCTGGCGCTCAAATTAGGCATTTTTGTGCTCTTTTACTTTGATTTAAAATAAATCAGCTTGCAGTGAATGGCACCCTGGGCTCACTCAGTCTATATTTATTTACATCATTATTTATTTTATACTCTGATTTTAGTGCATTTTTGCCACTCACACAATTCCACCAGTCTAAGTATTTGGGATTGGATGTAATTAGATGTAATCGAGAATCCGTTAAGAAAAAGAAAATTATTACTAATCAACTTAAACATAAATTTACTCTTTTTTTACCAGGTAAGTTGGTTGAGAACAAGTTCTCACTTTCAACAACTACCTGTTCAGGAACAGGAAGTGTTTATTAGCAAGTGTTCAACAATATTTTCCTACAGAACTTACATGATGCACACTGAGAAAAACCGATTCAGTTTTTGTGCCGCCCCTAGGCTATCACCCTGGGTGAGAGCCACAACAGTAGCTTCGAAAGCCGCATTTTCTCAGCTTTCAGAGATACAATCTGATTAGTTTTAGCTAACTGAATAATTCTGATTAAAGCAGACTAATGAGATCAACCTGATTCAATCAGATGATGTAATTCTAACAAGACTGACTGAAAATCTGAAACGACTGACATTTCTTTTAATTCTGTAAAGTGAAAGAAAAGACAAATCAGGTGAGAATTAAACTAACATAAAAGAGAAATCGGAACATGTAAAGGCACTAGGGTTCATTGAATCTTATACTTTCATTACCACGCTCTGTGCTGCTCTAACATTGCATGTTTGTGTGTCTTAGTAACAAAGGCCGAGTAAAAAAAAAAAAACTCAGTTTAAAAGATAAAAAATGAGTGAAACACAGCTCTGAATGTCAGACGTATTCAGAGGAATCTCTTTGTAACAGATAAGAAAATATTCAGTAAAACAAACAGCAGCCTGAGAAGACCGACTGAAAAATTAGGTGTGATTTTGTGGGATTTCTTTTGAAAATTTAAAGGAGAATCTTGCTGTAAACAGACATTAGACAGAAATCTGATTTGTTGGGTTTTTACTAAACCTGAAGCTCAATGCAACTGAACTCCGTAATGTAGAATAAATATGATTTATGATAATATAATCATTAAAATCAAATAAAATCCCCCTCAGTTACCCTTATTCCCTTATTGATAACTGGTCTGAAACAGTCAAACCAAAATCTGAGTAAAAGCTCAAGTTTTCTTCCATCCTCCGTAAAACAGGAAGTGATTGTACTGGATGAAGCTCCCCAGAGGAAACCGATCATAAAAACAGTTGTTCTGCTTCGACGAACAGTGTTGTGTTGTTATTGAGTCCAGCAGGGCATGCCACTTTGCTTGTCACCTCTACGGCGCCTCCTGCAGGAAGGGAGTGAAGGAGGAGCGGACGGTGCGACCCTGCAGAGGCTGCTGCACCCGGAAGTTGTTCACCATGCTCTTCTGGACTTCCTCCTCGGCAGAGGTGAACAGGAGGCTCCGGAAGACCGCCAGCTGGAAGGAAAGGCGGGAAGCACTGATAAAAATGTTCAGACTTTACAATCCAATGATATCAGTATTGGTCCTGGTATTGATCAAATTCCTAGATCGGGTCTCGGTGACAATGTGCTCTGAATGATGTCTTGCTTAGCAATATCTTAATAATTTCTAGTTGCACTTTCTGAACCATTTGAAAGAAGCTTTGTTGCGTTTGGTTTTTACATTTTTGATCAAGATAGTCAACCTATTGTTTTTGTCATTCTCAGTTTATTATTTCATGCAAATGTTCAGCTTCTATGCACCACAAATCTGGAACAAACTTCTAGAAAACTGGAAAACAGTCGAAACACAGTTATTTTAAATCTACACTTAAACCTCACCAGGTTAGAGCTACTTTGGAAACAATGAATTTTCTGATTCAGTAAAACAAACAGCAGCCTGAGAAGACGACAAAATGTGTTGCTTCATTCATTGACTGTGTTCTATGAGTTTGTATTTTGGGGTTTTTATGATGTAAAGCATTTTGAACTGCCTTGTTGCTGAAATGTGCAGTGCAAATAACTTGATTAACTTTTTTTTAGCCTTGGTTGTTGTTAGGGATGTACTGATCCACTATGTTCATGTCTGTTAAAAAAAAAAAAAAACAGACAAATATCCTGAATTATAAATTTATTTGGTAACTCTGGACCAACAGCTTCACAGTCTTGATCAGACATGTTTTTTAAAATAACATTTAATTTGGGTAAATGTTCTGAATTTACTGGTCCACTAACATTTTTTATCTACAGTTTAGAGTTATTGACTGCAACAGAATCTGCCTTAGAGAGATGGAGTGGAGCGCCACCCTCTGGCTGGAGCTCGGAGTTAATTAGGACTGAAATTATTTAGTCAAATTTTTTGTGATGAATCAATTATTGAAATAATATATACATTTTGCATTTAAGATAAAGTAAAATTTGTAAATATGTTCTACCTTCAGTTTGAGTTTGACCAGGTTGAAATTCGGTAAAACAAATCTTGTTTTAAGCACCTTTTGCCACCTAATTATTAAATCAGTTAATAATAACAATAACAGACCGGCCTTCAATATACTGATGAAAAATTAAGCAGAAAACTTTTTTTGATGTTAGAAGTATTTTTCTAACATATGTATTTACTGTTGTGGCATATTTATGGGTTAAAATTACAAGCTGATGCACTGAAACCGAGTTCTGAATAGCAAAGTTTTTCTTCCTTCTACTTTGTTAAAACTGAAAGAACTGACTATATTTGGCCACTTGGGGGCAGTAGAGGAGCTTTGATTCCCTACTGAGTGGCCCTGAAGTATCTAAACAGTGTATAAAAACTTCCCCAAATATCTGGTGAAAATTACATTTTCCTTCAGCAGAGGAGCCTAAACATGTTTATAAACACCAGAAAAAACATCTAGCAACTTTTTCAAACATGCAGCACGCCATCTATGGTAAAGAGACAAAAATGATCATTCTGTACTAAAATACTCATCAGGTTTTAGTCAGACACATACCTGGTCATGGCTGACTTCAATATGCTGCTTCATAACAATCCAGGTGACGGACTCTGTGAGAGGAGGCGTGGTCAGAGAGCCGTGGTACGTCCAGTAATCATTGATGTTGGAGGGAAGCAGACAAGCTGGATCAAAGCGGGTGAACTCCACCACGCTGTCCTGCAGACAGACAGACAGAAAGAAGACCTTAAAACAGCTTCCTGAGGAATTCAGTGTAGATGGGATGTAACGCCAGCAGAGGGCGCTACTTCAAAAACAGATTTTAGTCGGAAGGTTTTGTGATCTGAAGCTTGGACACGTTTTCCAAAACGTGTGACTGACCTTGTGTCTGATAGCAGGCAGAGCGTCAACCAGCTTCTGCAGCCCCTCATGTCTCTTTCCCACCTGCATCGGGATTCAACATTAATCTGAATTAAAGTCACAGTTCATGTCTTCATAAACAGCTCAACAGAAATCAGCAGATTCATGACCAAAGGTGCTGAGTGTATGTGGTTGTGTGTACACAGTTTGTACCTTCAGAAAAATTCCAATAACGGCGAGTCCGTTTTCTTCCATCACCGCCTCCTCGAACAGAGTGTACCTGTCAGAGTTCCAGTGGACCAAGTGGAGCTGAAAAACACACACACACACATCGCAATGAGTTTCTGTAAACTGAAACCTGATGCCTGCCTGTTTTCACACAAACTCAGACTGCTGAAAACTGTGCTGTGAGCACCAGAGGTCAAAGGACAACGTCACTGAAACATCTTGTTATGAAATCGAAAAGGAATAATATAAAAACAAATAAATGTTCGAGTCTAGGGACATGGAACTGGCATGGAAACCAAACTTAGAGGAAAGAAACAAATGTTTATTTAATGCAAATTAAAAAAGTTCCGAGCCGATGTAGGAGAAGCAGCAGAGCTAAATAAAGCAAGGCTCTGTTTAGACTGGGACCGCCTTTTTCCAGTCTTAAAGTAAAACCATGACTGGAACCTGATAAAAGGAGAAAATGTTTTTACTTCAGGAGTCCTAAAATAATTCAGGCCTTTATTAAAGTCAGAGTAGTTGCTCATAAAGGACTAATTATGATGCTTTTAGTATATGTTCTGCTTGCAGTATGTTTCATAAGTAAAAGAAAATTTATGTTTTTTCTGTGTTTATGTCTGTGTTAGTGGAGAACGTTTCAGTGCTGACTGTACCTCTGCAGGAAACAGCCTTCGGTCCACAGTGTGCTCTGAGCCCCAGTCGTTGCTCTCACCCCAGTGGAAGTGGAATTGACACAGCCTGTATTTGTCCTGTAGTGGGCCACCCTTCAGTACTGCACAAGAAACATACAGAAGATGTCAGGACTTCAGGAAAGCAGGCCAAATGCAATGATAGTGGTGAGTTTTAATGAAGTTTTACTTTTCTCACAGTGAAATTTAAACACTTTCCATTTAGGTTTTCAAACATTGGAGATAAAAACAATCCTAGTGAAACTAAAAGAGACCGCTTCATTTCACAATTATATGATATAACTTATTACTGTTATTAATAATAACCTGTAATAGTATCCTACCTCCTACAGCATGGAAAAGGCTGTTTTATGTTTTGAAATGTCTCTTACATCTGACTGGTCTGAAAAAGATAAATCTCTAAAAATTGTTCTTGCCAAGTTTTCTGATATTTACAAATATAAATTATTTTACTAATTCTAACTGATCTAAAACAAAAAATTTGATCTGATTTAACTCCAGACAGTGAGAAGAAAAATCTATTATGTCTTCTTGTCGTCTTTAAATGTCTGTTTACATGTTCTGTATTTAGGCTTTTTATCAAATGTTAGATTTTATTTTATTACAAAACTGTAATAAAATGCAGTTTTGTAATAAACAAAACTGTGCTATTTGAATAGTAAGCACTTTTAAAGACTTTACACAGAAATCAAGCACTTTCCAAACCTTGGAAACACCTTATTAAAATGACTTCAAACAAGTGTATCAACAGTTTAGTTTTTAAAAACTCTTCATGCTGCATTTAAACAACTAGAGTCACGGAAAAAAAGAAAATCGGGTTTTCTGTCTGTCTGACATTAAATTGGGCTGAACCCATCCCATTTTAGGTCCATCAAAACTCATTCACCAAACTCATTTATTAATTTGCCAACTTCCAGGACAAAAAGATTTTGTTTAATTTTCTTCTAATTTGGACATTTCCTTTAGTATTTGGCAGAACTGGCTTTAAACTTTATGACCACTTTATGGCTTTTGGATTTCCTTCCATAAGCTTCTCACAGTTAGTGTTTTGGGATTTTGCTCCATTCGTTCTAATAGAACTTGAAGAACTGGGTCAGGTTTGTTGGCCTCCTTGCTCTCACTTGTTCAGCTCTACTCTCAGATTTCCCTGAGATCAGGGATTTGATATCCACTTGAAAACAATGACTCAGTTGTACATTGTCTGGAATAAAAAAAGCAGTCTCATTCCTGCTCACTCCTGAACAGGGTGATTGCTACAACTTTAAGCTCCTCCCACATCGTCATTGTGTGCATTTTGTTCATAGTGAAGGATACTGACTGCTTACATTTCTCGTGATAAATTCCCTCATTTCCCACAATCCTAATGGATACTAGAAAGTTTGCTAGTGAGCCCATTTTTCTCTTTCAGGGCAGCCAGATTATGTTGGGGGCAACATGAAACTGCTGCTGCGCATGCTACTGAACAGGTTGTTGCTAGGTAACCAAAGAGTGAGTTGATGTCATCAACCTTACGTTGGCCTCCCACATTCTTCAAATTTAACAAAATTGGTGTCAAATGTTTGTGCAGCAAAGATTTTAGTTTTTAAAGATATTGACAAAAACCACTCACCCTGCTTGTATTTCCAAAATTTAACAAATTTGGTGTCAATCAACAGTGTTATGTTTGTGCAGCAGGTGACCAGATGTTTTTATTAATATCTTTAAAATGATGGTGACACAAAAAAAAAAAATCTTTGCTGCACAAACCAGCACAAGCGTTTCAGTTCATGGACAACAATTTTGCTAGATTTTGGTATAGTGGAGTGGGAGAAAGGAGCTGGTTGACCTTTTGAGCTTTAAACTTTCATTAATATCATCAAAGCAAAAGCACAAACAAAAAATGTTGGTGCACAAATGTAGCCAACTTGACCACTCCACTTTTCTCTGATTTAGGGTTTCAGGGTGGAATCTCAGTGAAATAATAGAAATTCTATCAGACATTTTTTTTCTATCGTTATTGATCAAGTGTCTATTGTTTTATTGCCCAGCCCAAAATGTTGCAACAAAGTGAAAAAGATTAAGAGTTGCTTCTTTGTGTGATTCAGCCTTTCGTGGAAAATGCTGATTCATTTCCCCTAAAGGGACTTTGAGGAACAGGTTGTTCAGGCAAAACACTGACCAGGAACCTTCCAGGAAACCTAAAGGCAGAGACTACAATCCCTTTTAAAGTCGTTACTTTTTACTGTGGTCATAAACTTGTCATCATAGAAAGTTAAACACTAGAGACAATTTAAATTACCTGCTCTACTGTTTATGTTGCTAAAAAATGGAACACTTTCTTACGTTTCTTTTGAACATTTTTAATTCTTCTGAAATGAGCCTCATATATTTGGAGTTATTGCATGTTGGGAAAGCCTGGTAGTTAAAACAGAAAAGGTAGCAATTATAAGTGAGATGAAGCTCAACATAAACACACAAGTCACATGAAGGTCAGCAGTTGCACGTGGCGTTTCAACTGATTTCTGGCATTTTAGACATATATGGAGGGGGTTCTTTAAGAGGGAACGGGGGTGGAGATAATCCTCTTATGTAGATCAAAACATGCATTCACCCTGCTGAGCTTTCTCAGGATTTAAAGGGAAATTACACAAGGAACTGCAAGAAAAGGAGGCTGAATAAACAATAGATCCACTTCGTATAAAGCAGGTTTCTTTGGGGTCATTTCTGAAGGAGTTTTCATTAAACGTTTAAAATGTTACTCACTGTTCTTGTCAGTAGTGTCGTCATACTCAACCAGAAAGGAGTAACCGTTATTCCAGATCTGCTGGCAGGTCTGCGGGTCGTAGCTGGACTCCAGCGGCTTCAGATCCGAGTCGAAGACGGCTTTTTTCGCGGCGATGTCGATGGGAGACTGATTATCTCCACCTGGCACCTCCAGGGGCCCCTGCCACATGGGGTGCACTGGAGACCAGGCCAGGAAGAAGAGAAGAAGAAGCAGAGGGGGGAAAAATAAAAAAGGAACATCAGATTTCATGAAGCTGATGCTGTTTCAATCAATAGAAATAACAAAAACACAAATGCTGACACCTACTTTCCCAATTGTGCTCAGCTGCCTCTTTCTTTTTCAAACAGTCCATTTTAAAACATCTATCAACTACACTCAGTCCTACAGGGACACAAACTCCTCTGTCCACTGAGGACGAACTAAAGGGAGAAAATGAGTCAGAGAGGAGCAGAAGGAAGTTTTTTTTCTTTAAAGGAAACAAGTAAAAAGAGAGAAGTGGGCCGGCTGTAGAGAGAGTGACACTCGGAATGTCCTGGCATTCCCCCAGCTCTGCTCCACAGCAGGACCAGCAGACCAGGACCTCTGGCGGGTCAGAACGCCGGCTCGCGCTCTTCTGACTTCTAAAAACTCAGCTTGGCGACCAGAGAATCACCAGAAAAACTGTCAAAAAGTTATAAAAATCTATTTCATCCTTCTTGATACAAACAGAAAGGCAGAATGGTCTGCTCCTCTTCTGGCTCTTGAACAGGTCTGACTGGGAGTTGACCTTCATCAGACTGCAGTAGCTCCTCCTGTTGTTGCCTTTTCACACAATAACCGCTTACCAAGCTGAAGCACATTGCGCTACTCTGAGCTGTTTGGTAATCCACCTTTTGGCCTGTGTGTTAAGATTACACTAGATTTATAAATTAGCTGAACCGACAATTCACAAAGCAAAAATGAAGATGTGTAGAAACAGCTAACAACAGATGTTGGTACTGTTTAAATATTGTATTTCAACTTCTACTTCAAATACCATACCAACTTTATTTATAAAGCACTTTATAGCTCAGACAGATAGGGAGGGGCAAGGCCATTAAGAGCATTAAATACAATAAAAGGATTTTAAAATAAATCCTAAAAATGTACTGGCAAGGAAGCTAAAATAAGGGAAATATGGTCAAATTTTCATGTACCTGTTAAAAGATGTGCAGCGGCATTTTTACCCTCTGGAAGCTGGGAAATATATACCACAAATGCAATGAAGTAATTAAAATCATGAAAATTGGTTTCCAATTAATCAGTAAAGTTTATTAGATTTAAATTGGTGCCAATTGATTAAATAACAGCTGATTAGACGTTCATAGTCTTGTAGTTTGACCTCTATCCTGCAGAGGGCGCCGCTGCCCCTTCTTAAGCTGAGCTGAAATGAAGATGGAGGGGCAATATCTGAACAGAAAAGAGAAACAGCCCAGACAGAGTCCAGTCTGAGATGCAAAATGCTCTCTAAACAGAACCACTTAAACACCCAACATTATTGAGAAACTCCTTAAGTTTCTCAACAATGTCGCTCATTCAGCTGAGCTGAATTGTGGAGCTGAGTCAACTTGTCATTAAAAAATGACTGATCTGCTACAAAGTCTAGAAGAGCAAGAAGGCAGAGGAGATAACTCAGAAAAATTGTAACATGATAAAAAAAATCATGACAGCAATAAGCAGGGTTGATTTTAAGGGTGTGAGTTAATGCACTTTACAGAGCGAAGCTTTTAAATTCCTTTAAGAGCGACCACAGACCGTATTTCTGTATGAACGTCTCTATTAATGGCGAAATAAATGTATCACATATTTTATTCTGTTCTTTTTTTTTACTGTACTGCATCCTGAGAGACTTCTGTTTTGTTATATTTTACAAGCAACAATGGAAAAACATCTAGTACAGATTTCTATATGTATTTTTTTACTTGTTACGAGAATATTTTGCAGTTTGAAGCTGAAGATCGGCCATGTGTCCCAGAAAACAATAACACAGTAGGACCAGATTTCCATGATCACAATTCTGTCACCACTTTGGTTGTTTGATTAAAGTCGTATATCACTGGCGGAGAATTACAAGAGTATGACGTGTAAAGCTGCTGGTTTAGTAGCCATCAGACATTATGATCATAATCCTGGTTTTATAGCCCGTTATGCATTGAGTGAATCAAACTTATTGGAATGAAACAGTTCTGGCTTCCTATAGTCCACAAGCATGATCTTTGGGTTAATGATCTACAGTATCTAAATTTCCCTTGTGTGTGTTTGTGTTGTCTTGTCCAGGTGGAACCAACTGACTCTTGCTGTTTTTTTTTGCTTGTTTAAAAATGTCAAGACGTCAGAGGGAAACTACAGCACACAGATTATTACTTTTCCACCCACAAAAAAATATTAAATGACAGTCTGATGTCAGACATTATTGTCAAAAGATAATCCTACAGAATCTGTCCATTGAATGACGGGATATAGACGAGCAATTAATTTAAAGCAGACTTAAGCTACACTTTACCCTTTTGGCCACAAGATGCCACCAAAAAGACAGAAGAAATGAAACTTTTTCCATCCAAGCTTTAGAAGATTTGATCATCATTACAACCTGAATCAACTGAAAAGAAAAAATGCTGGTCTTTCTTGGAAAATTTACAGCGGTGATGTCAAAATATTCAATTTTGGGCCATATCATGATCACAAATATCTTCAGAGGGCAGGATGTGGCAAATTGTACTGATAAAACTACCCATTAACAATTATTATTAACAAGCTGTTAATAATTTGATGTCTTAATTTGATGCATTTCTTGAAATTCAATAATGTGAAACTCCTTTGTACATTAATGTAATTTGGCATTATACTGATAAAATTTATTTTATTTTATTGGTAAAACAATATTTAATCACACAAGAGGGCCACATAAAAACTTATGGCCTTGAGTTTGACACATGATTTAAAAGTGATCATTATGAAGGCTGATGTTTCAGATAAACATCTCCTAAATAACATAAAAACAAACCAAATATGAACTTCTCCTTTTGATTGATTCAGATGTTGTAATGTTGTTATTATTTTCCATTTCTACATGTTTTCTGCATGTTTTATTTGTGGTCTATAGCGGGACAGGCAAACTTTATGTAACAGGGCGTTGTAAGAACCTGACAGACTGGAATGGGTGTGTTTAAACCTTTTTGGTAATTAAAAATACATGTGACATGTGATGACTCAGAGGTGGATTAGAGAAAATAGAAACTAAATCCACAATCAAACTAGATCAAATTTAAGCAGTCATATAGTCATATAGTTCTTTCTGATGCTGAAATCTGATCGTAAGGTGTGAAACAGATAAATGGAGGTTGTGTAAACTCTTTTGTTGGATGACAATAGCTCCAGCATGCAGTTATGTGGGGCAAAGGGCTTTAACTAGACAGCATCGCCAGGAGTCAGTAATTTGGCAAAGCTCGAACTATTGATTTGCTTTTTTTTCTTTTTTTTTTTAAAGGAGGCATGCACCCATTTCCTCGTTCACTGCCTCACAATAAAATGTTCTGATGTCACAGCTGAACCAAAGTGAAACATGAAAACATGCAGCTAGCATCAGCTGTACTCACTCTGGGACAGGACATATTTGCTGGAACACGCCGTGAGGTTGCACCGTCGGACAGGCGTCATCCTGGGACCTATGGCGTGTCTGACGAGTTGTCGCTGGAGGTGAGAGACCAAAGGTCTAACGGCTGCAAAGAAAGTCACCATGTTCCTCCAACTGACTGCACCTGCTTCGCCTAAAACGGTTACCCCGTGAATTATGAGGGCTTCTCGGCTAGAGGCGCGCGCAGCTAGCTGTTAAAACTCCACACTGAACTGAAGTTAGCCGCCTGTTCAAAACAATGTATCGGCTGGCTGCTACTTCTTCCTCTGTATCCTCGTCCTGCGCATCTGGAGGCGGAGGAAAAACCTTCACACTTTCACCGCAGAGGAAAACCACCGCTTACAGTGAAGCTACAGCGGCTGTCTACATTCCTTTAAGCCGTTAAAATGCGCTGCTGGGACCGTGAACGGTTGAAAAAGACCCTCGGTGGCTCACGAGAACGATCGATGCAAGGGGGAGGGGCTGCGGTTCTGACCAATCAGAGAAGTCCTGTGAGGGGCGTCAGCAACAGCCATAACAACGGAAAGGAAGCCATCAACACTGCCACGAGGTGTCACTGTCATTATTAAATACCCTTTTAAAAACCTGCAAATAGGCTTAAAACATCATTATTCCAACATTTGTTCCAACAGCAGCGTAATATTGGGACGGCTGTTAAAGTGTATAATTGGAAAATATAGAACAAACTTTCCATATTTGTGATAAGGAAAGTTGTATTTATATTAATCTTATTTAAATTTGTTATAAATCTCCAGACATATCATCTCTATCAGACCCAGTGACTTTTGGACCAATTAAAACAAACAATTTTCTTCAGCTTGTTTATGAACCTCAAATATTACTGCTTATCATGAACGTCACCTCTGACGTAACCAGTAACTTTGTTTACAAAAATTCATCAGGTGTGTACTGTACTCAGCTGTGGGAACTGAAGGTAAACATGAATCTGGGGCTTCTCTTTTCAGCACACGTCCCAGGTGAACCAGCCTGTTCCCAGCTCCTTCTGACATTCTTCACAAACATCTTAATGAGCAGCTGTTGCCTGTTTTCAGACAAGATCATGAACAGAAAATACTTCAATAACAAATATTTAGACCTCTGGCTCTCATATTTCACTTTATATTTTACTGAGAATGATTTCGGTCCATTTGGTTCTTGTGGAGCAGTTGGACGCACCACTGCCTTTATTTTTACTTATAACAAAGCATTTTTGCCATAAGTGAAAAAAATCTGCAAGTGGAACTAGTACTTTTTAAAATCAATATTCAATAATTGAATATTGATATATTTTATCAAAAAGTTACTTGTGAGCTAGTTTTATTGTATTTCAAGTATATTGAGATATTTGCGCTAGAAAAACTTGGTGAGATTTAATGTTTTTGTACCAAGTTGCTGTATAATAATAGCAACTTGGCACAATTATATTGCTATAATACAAATATTTTCTTTCGCAGCCTTTTCTAAACCTGTTAGCAGTGTGCTAATAAATGTTCCAGGACTGTATGTTCCTTTAGATAAGAACATTTTACATTGTGACCTTTAACCGTCATTTTTAGTTTAGTAATCCTTTGAGTTATGCTCAGCAGGCAAAGTGTTTACACTATGATGGTTGCCATAATGATACGGCCAGGATTAAAGCAAAGTGGCAGGAATGATGAAACAGGAATGATAAACTCAGTTCAGTTGATTTGTTTTATGTTTACAGGTCAAACATTTTAACCTAAACATTAAAATGTTTATTTTATAACATAGAGCACTATGAGCTGCCTTGTTTTTGAAATGCGCTTTGCAAAGAAACTCGTTGATTCATTTTGCAGAGCTGTATATTCTCAGTATTAATTTCTACTGATTTTGATTAATCTGGTTTACAATTTCAGTAAAACATTAAAATTCAGTCTGAGATTTTGTTTGACCATTTCAGGTTAACAGAACCACAAAAACCAAAAAGAAACTTGACAGAAAAAAAGTCATAAACTGTTGTATTTATTATTTTCATTAAATTGGTCCAAAAGGTTCATAAACAGAAAACCAGTATGAAATAATGGACACACAGGAATCAGAGATATTCAGCTTTAAACAGAAAATAACCGCACTTGTGGTTCTGAAGGCCGACTCTATCAAGTTAACCTTTGACACTGACACAGTAACCGTAAGCTTCAGGAAACTGAGCGGCTGCAGTTTCCCTGGTGGCCATGTTGGCTCCTCTCTGGTATAACTTATGAGGGTTCTGTTTGCAGAAAAACTTGTCTAATCGTGAAATAGAGGTAGCAAACTAACACTCTTATGGCACAAACTGGCCAGAACCTCTCTGTGTGTGTGCATGACTGGAACCCTAAGACATCAACGACTGTTGACCTCTTTCACCTTTTTTTTGTTTTTGTTTCCAAACACCTCCACTGACATCCTGACTCGTGTTGCATGAGGAGTACAGTACATTTATTTAAAAAAAAACAACAAAAAAAGCCTTTTTAAAACCATCAAGAGAAGCAGTGCAAGACCTTAAATGAATAAAAATATGCAAACTTTACTGCATTTTCAAAAGTTTGTTTAAAATATTGAATCTATTTACAGTCATGTCTGAAAGTCGGCATGAAAGCAGGAAAAGGAGCGGGGACTAAAAGATGAAAGTTCTTCATTGAACTGGTGGTTTTATTGATTTCAGCCTACTGTCTTTGAAAACATAATGATTTCATCAGAGTCCTTCAGAGCTTTAGTCCAAAGCGATGATGTCATCGTCGTCGTCATTGTCTGCAGCTGATTGGTCCGTTCGTGGGCGCTTGGTGGAGGTTTCGCCGGTCTCTGAGTCCTCTTGGTGCTTCCTCTTGGTGGCGGTTGGCGGCGCCGCAGAGCAGGACGGTGATCCCACTTCCTCATCAGAGTCCACTATCATGATGTCATCATCGGCTGCTGCAGCTGAAATTCAACACAATTAAGGATGACTTATGATACTTCTTTGAACAAGTTAGGATGGAGATATGGCCTAAACAAAACATCTTTAAAAAAATTTTTGCGCAAAATCATTCTCAGATAATGAGGCCTCAGCAGAACTCAGTTCTGCCTGTGTTGAGCTGTTTTAGGGCCTCCCGTCACTTTAAATCCAAACAAACTGCTTCTGGTCACGCCCCCAACTCAACGTTTACACTCATAGAAATGGCTGCAAACAGATGTACAACTACTCAACAGTACATCTTTGAAAGGCATTAGTAGAGCCTCCTGCACAACCAACAACATTACAGCAAGTGGTTTCTGGATGGTAAGTCAACAACAAAACACTTGCCTTTTCCAGCAGCCATTGTATAGCACATACAAAAGTAAAACTAGCTGACCAAATGTGCTGGTGCTTAATTTAGGTTTCTGGGTAACAGCACACTGCCCATTGAATGTGACTTAATAAGGAGTATTTTGAAATGGCAGATTTACTCACACATATTTAGCTTCACATAAATATTACGGGATTATTTCATGATGTCCCATTATATCTGGCAAAATTAAGTTGGGATTTGGAGAAGTTTTTCCAGGAAAGTAAGTCTTTTTTTTTTTATTTCTTCTGTATGTTTGAACAAAAATCAGAATCAGAATTCTGACTTTAATCTTTTGAGATCAGAGTTCTGTGCAATTCAGAATTATCTGAATTCTGACTCCAAGCTCAAAATTCTAATTTTTGATAACATTTCAGATTAATAAAAAACAACAACATAAAAAACACAGCTCACAGCTCTAAGGACTTGGTCTGTTTTTAGAAGCAGTTGAAACATGGAAGCATAAAAACAAGCCAAATCATCAGGCCAGAAACTCAATGAAGACATTTCCATCTTTAAAATAAAATATAAAATGAAAATGATGTTTTGATGCCGACCTTTCGAAGACGTGGACGGTTGGGCGGAGTCTTTGTTGCCATTGGTGATGCTGTTGACTTCCTCCTGGTTGGTCTGAGGGGGCGGAGCTTTATCCGGCGCCTCGCCCACCACCTCAAACTCCACGTCTCGCTCAAGCTCCTCACTGCCAACAAAAACAAATGATATTATATTTCATATCTATATTTTCTGTTTGCTCATAAGAATCAACAGAAGGGGGTAAAGTTGGATCTGACGGCCACACACGTGTGCAGGACGTTGATGAGGAGCGTGTAGTCCTGAAGGAAGTCGTCAGACTGTAGACGGCTGCCGTTACGAATCCCAAAGTCAGAGAGGAATTTGTTGTTGTTGGCTGGGAAGGAAAAAAAAATGCAGATTAGAAATCACAGATCCAAAACTGTGATCAGCAGCTGGGACTCAGTGAATGAGGCTTGTTGTGGTCCTTAAAATTGAATTAACACCCAATAGACAAATTCTTATAAAAATAAAAAAAAAAAGTGGGAAGAGCCAAAATATTGAGGGGCGTGGCCAAGTCTGCCACCTTTTCTATTCTCAGAAGATGAGATGTTGCTTTTTCTCAAATCACTATTATCTTAAACCAAACATGAACCAAAGAAATCTAATTAAAGATGCACCAAACTAAGTCATATGCAGTTAAATTAACAGTTTGTTCAAAACTAATTATTCTTAATAAGCGATAAGCAGAGCACCCAATAATTGTACTCACTTAAAAGTAGTTTTACGTCAAGATATTTTTACTCATCTAAGAAATTACTCGAGTAAAAAATAATCTAGTAAGACGTCTACTATACAATAACTGACTAACTGATCAAATTATCAACCATTTCAAATTTTAAAATTACATCATCAGATGGACTAAAATATAAAGGACAAAAAAAAAATTTATATCAGTAACAAAAAAATTAAACTTTCCAAATCAGTTTCATTCAATAAAAACTTAAACTAACAAAAACAGGTGTGTGTCTGTGTCTGGTGAATTTTTGGTTAAAACATGTTTGTTATTCATTCAGAGGGTAGAAAATACAGAATCTTTTCTCCAGTCGAAGTAACGATACGTCAGAATAAAATTACTCAAAAAATGTAAAAAGTACAGCGTAGTAAAAATACTAAAAATATATGTTTTCAAAAAAGGCACTCAAGTAAATGTAACTAATTAAATGTAACTAGTTACTACATAAGCCTGCTTTTAACAAACTTTAGGAAACCAATAGTCAGCCTCTGTTACTTTGCTGTTTTCAGAATAAACCTCAAATAGAAATCTGCCTTAAATATGTAAGAGTCAGAAGAAATGGCTTAAAAGTCTTAAATTACTTTCCGTCTCTCCTTCCTCTGAGGAAATGAGGATGGTTCCTTTGCCGTCTTCTATCTGAACATCCGGAGCGACCATGCCGAACCGCTCCTTCAGGATCTGAACAGAAATCAGAGCAACGTTATATCATTTCGCTCCATCGCTCAGTGACAACTGGCTCCAGTTTGGGTTTACCTTGTCCTGCAGACACAGAACCGTCGTTTTCTGCACGTTGACTTTGACTGTGACTTCTGGTTTGCTGGCGCAGACGTAACAGTTTGGACTGGGTTTGTCCAGAATACAGGGCACCAGCAGCTTCTT